TTCCATAATTGTAGCCAGCCCTACTGAAACACATCTTTTCTCCCCTGATAGTGAAAGATCAATATGATTACAGCTGGAATAGAATTGCTAAAATTCAATGTCTTTGATATTCCATCTTCTCTCACAGGCTATATACACTATATACACAGTAAAATAGTATATTATGCATTGATTCCATAGTATGTTACATGCTTTCTCATAAAAATGGCCACATCTGTCCCAATCAGTACACAGTCTTAAAGTTCTTTTTGCCAACATTAAAGCACAATAGCACTCTTGACGACCACTCCTTACAGATCCCTCAAGAACCTTTGCTACCATTACTTATAATAACTTGAACACTATTATTGTAATTAATTACTTAAAAAGCCAGGACCTTGTTTGTATTATTGTCCATGTAGTTACTGGATAATAAGCCTTAGCATGTAATAAGCCTGAAATTTTAAAGAGTTTTGCAAAATATCAGTGGGTACATCTGCAGTCATGCAACTCTGGCCATTCATGAGTTATGTAAAATGAAAGAAGCCACAAAGGATTTTTACTGAAATACGATAACCTTCAGAAGGACGCTGGAACATGGAGTTTGTTTTCACAACAGTTTCCCCTGTTTTCATACAGTGTCAGGTGATTGGCTGAGGTAACGGTATGATGAGAGTAAAGTGTGATGTACTACAGGGCAGGAAAAATCGATTCTGAGCATGAAAGACAACGCTCATGATTGGTGGCCATGTGCTGAATCAAATATTTGAACTAGCGGAGTGACGTCCATGTTGTATAAAAGTAACAGGAAGAGCAGACATGGGGTCAACTGTGTATGAAACAAAGACATCTGGCTAGGTGTGTTTGTGTGGAAATACATTGCTGTGCGCAGTCACATGTTACCTTTTGACTTCTAAATACACAGCACACCACACAAGCTGAACACTCTACAGACACGAACACACTGAGGAACTTCAAAGAGTCAGCCACAATGCCACAATGCTGAGAATACTCCAGGGAGAACATAAATGCTACCAACATTTTATCTTACTTCAAACTGTTACCTACTTTTGAAAGTAGTTTGTAGTTCAGTTTGTGGCAGAAATGTAGTAAGCAACTGAGAGAGAGAGAGACTGTGTCAGCATGAAATGTGCTTCATTGGCCGCTCTGGGTCTTCAGTACAGTACTTCATGTGCTCTTTCTTTGAAATTTCTCCAGTACTACATGAGTGCCATGGCTGGCAGTCTACATGCACTAAGAGGCTGAAAAAGGCTTCAACAGAGAAGAGTATGATGACTCACCTTCTGCTGCATGAAAATGGCTCACTTCTTCCATTTAGCGTTAGTGCCATTCACTTTATACTGGTTACTACATTCAGAAAATATATATATAAACATTTATAAAAATGTGATACAGCATTGCAGAGAAATATAACATTTATTTCTGTAGGATTACAAATGCAGTAAAATGAATTCAGTGCAGATATTTTAGCACAGCATCCCAGTGTCTCCTAAATGGTCTGCTCTTCTAGAGTACAATATATCATCGAATATCAGTTTGAATCAGTTCAGCCAAATCTAAACATCTGTCTCATGCTGATAACTGTTTTCAGCAAACACCTGCAGATACCGATATGATTCCGATATCAATGCACACACCTAATGGTCATGGAACATTTCTGTAGATGTCCCCTGTGAAATCAGTCTAATCGGAACTTCAGACAGACAACATTTCTGTATGTTAATATAGTTTCTCTTCTTATGGTCATTTCTTTCAACTAAGAAAAATAAATGAAACTGAATTTATAGTCCACCTCTCATTAAGCGGCTATGCGACACAAAGTCCGGGGTCTTCAATGACAAAGAGGAGATGAAATAGCTTCAACATAGTGAATGTGGCAAGACGAGTTGAGTTTCACCCTGGGAGGTATGACATTAAAGTTACTTTGTAAAAAGAATGAGTTTACACTCTGGACTTGGGTCCAACTGGAACCAGTTCAGAGTTCCTCTCCACTCCACGAATCAACAATTTAGCTCAATGAATCAGCAGGAGAGCTTGAGTGGTCGTGGAGGAGGATGAAAAAAATACATCTGTCAAAGAGCCTTCTTTTGCCATGAGCAGAGCAAAAAGGAGCCAGTAGCTCTGAATCAGTCTCTCTCTTTATCTCTCTCACACACTTTCTCTCTTTTTCTGAAAAGGATGCCCAATATCCATGGAGAACAGATCAGGAAAAATGCTAAGCGCTTGTGTCCTCTCCTTTGTCGTCTCTTTCTTCTAACCCCACACCCGCCTCCTGCAAGCGACCCACAGACGATAAAAAGTGGCCCTGACAAAGGAAGCTGAAAAAGCCCCATCCGAGTTCAGTAGGACATCTAAGAATAAACAAGAGATGTGCAGAGAATGCTTCTCTTTCCCACACTCACCTACCCCAGCCACACAGACTCTCACTCTCTCTGCCACTCAAACACACCAAAGTCAATGACAGCACAGTGTTAGCCTGTCCAGGGCACTGTGCCCATAAAGTATCTCAGCAAAGACTAGACTGCTGCCTGAATTGTGGCTATCAATCAGACAGCACAGGAAACACATTTTAAGCAATGGTCAAAATATAACAAAACCTGATACCTGATGTATCACACTGTTTATTTTTCTAGGGATTGTAAATAAGTTAAAGCAGACAAAATGCAATAACATCACATTTAAAAAGGAAATGAGAAACTACAAAAATGTATTCAATACATCTGCAAAAATGCACTTGAAAATTTGAAAATGAACAGAACAAAAGAAACAAACAACTGATGAAAATAAATGAATAAAATAGTATAAAGGCATCTAACATATCGTCGCTGTCCAAAAAAAATCTCGATTTTTATTTTTCTGCATCATTTGAAAAAGATGTCCTTTACTTTGTGTGAAAACTTCATGATTAATTGATCAATAGAAATGTTTTTATTAACTAACATTAAAAACAAAGAACACTTTTGCACTCTCCTGTAACGTAAGAATTTTAGAGATTTTTTTAATATCAGGAACGATATGGTATGTGATCCACAAGTGGCTCTGGATGTTATATAGCAGCAGTAACTTGCCTGCAGATACCACAAGCCACATGACATAGATGTGTTGCTGAAAACTGGCCATTTTATGAAAACCATTTACACATGACGTAGTTAAGCCAATGTGCCTGAAGACCTCTGCCTCCTTACAACAAGAGGGGTGATATAAGGCCACGGTTAAGTGTATGTTAGGTCTCTGTGGGGCTGTTAAACAGATCATTACCCATTACACATTCTGCACAACTTTATAGTACCAGAAAGAACATATAAAAGCCCCCAACAGACCTCAAGCTTCATAGACTGCATCCTTTTTCATCCTTGAGTCAGTATTGGATAATTTAATCAATGTTACTTAGAGATTACATGACTTTTCAGCTTTTTACAGCCTCAACGATGGCAGTGGCTGTAAACCAACATCATGCTGCATATATCACTGCACAGATTCTCCTCTGAATACTGGGGGAAAACAGTGACTGAAGCACTACCTGTACTATCATGCAGTATGTGTCACAGAATTCAGGTGAAAAGCAAAGTCGCTTCACAATGGTTAGCACTCACAGCATTACTCATGCTCCACAGCAAAGCTGGTCATAGTACTTTAAGCTTGCACGGCAAACTCACAAAAGCACAAAGCTTGTGGAATGTTGAGAGAACGCACCCAAATCTGTGGGCGGAAACAGAGCTTTACCTGCAAGTGCTGTCTTTCACGCACAGATACTTGGCAAGCATCATAAGGGCACAGACACATAAGCCTTTGGTTATTAATAGCGTGTGGTGTGACGAGTCGTTACGCCTAACAACGTAACTTTGGTCCCATCTCACGAGGTGGTTTCCATGGATTTCCACAGGACTGTTTTCTTGTTTCTCTGGTTGTCAGGTAGCTTCAGGCATACAGAGAACACTACAAAGCATGATAGCATCAGTGCCATCCTAATTATTTTGCTAAAATTCATTGAATAGCACAATCCCACCACATACAAACACATAGATTCACACAACCTAACCAAATAGTATGTCTATAAACACAAAACCTCTTTGTCAGCAGACACCTCATATCAAACATTACTCGGGACCAGTCATATGACTGCCAATGGTCACAGCAGGCAAGTGACCTGTTGTCTCCACTCAAATTCACCATGTGCCACATATAATGAGAACCCAATGCCGTTATACAAATCAGTGAATGGGGATTTACTGACAATCCCATGACAGAAAAAAGTTAAGCGACTCACAAAGAGCTGCATGCTTAGAACGAATTCTTCACACCAGCTGAAAAGTAACAACCATTAAGAACAGCGTTTTCCAACTCACTTCCATGGGGACCCGCAGATAGACCTGAAACTTCTCAATATGCCTGAACCAAGAAATCAACAGCACTGAATTGCTGGTACAGTTTTACTGGGGACAACAGAACTTTAGATTGAAGTGATGATACTTCAATCTGAAATTATGACTTAAGCAGAGTCAGCCAGTAAAAGCAGCTACCAAAAGCAAGTTCCCCAAGTTCCCTATAGACCTGCATCTGATCCTAGCACATCCAGCATCTATACCATAGAAATGAAGTTTGTTAGGTGGTCTTTTTGGAATCTCTTTGGTCTAAAATAAAATACTAAAGCTCAAAAGTGAAAGAGGGAATGCTGAACCAGCACAAAAGAACTAGTTTAAAACTTTAGGACCTAATTGTGTAGAACTGGGCTTGAAAAGTGCATTCATTTCCTCACAGATTTGAAAATACTCAGAAATGTCAATCACGATTGTAGTGCAAGGTCCTATATGTCGCATATGTGCATGTACAGTACATTTACATAAGGTACATACACTGATCTGGATACCCCTAAACTGCTGCAGGAGGAAGTGACTGAAGAAGTGTGTGCACTGTGGGGACTAGATTTGGAAAACACTGCCCTGACCCACTCAGCAGTGGTCAGCACTGAGCGCATGAGGGCGCATGGGAACCTAACTTACCTTCCAGCCGGCGGAGCTGTTGCTGTCTCCCTTATCCTTGAAGTAAGGCACGCTCTTCACCATCCAGTCGTAGATCTGGGACAGAGTGAGGCGCTTCTCCGGGGAGCTTTCGATGGCCTTGGTGATGAGGTCCGCATACGACATGTTGCCCCATGCGTTGCGCCGGGAGGAGCTGCTCTTCCTCTGCGCCGACACGGACGACAGCAGAGGTACATGCTGTTGCTGCTGTTGCTGCTGCTGAGCCAGCTGTGGACTAGAGACCTGCTGCTGCTGTTGCTGCTGCTGCTGGTGGACACAGTCGAAGTCGAGCCCCTTCTGCTCCTCATAGTCCTCGCTCTCTTCCAGCAAGCCGAGGCCACCGACCAAGTCCGTATGGCCCGCCGAAGCCGCCGCCTCTCGCTGGCCAGAAGACGCCGGCGAACACGTGCCCGAATCCGCGGGGTTCGTGAGCTCCGGCCGGGGCAGCGGCCACGTGCATGAGCGCGGCCGCGGGAGCGGCGCGAAGTCCGGGTCGATTTCTACCGTGTGTCGCGGGGCCGCTTCAGCCATGGCGCCGAGCACATAAGGAACGGCCGGCGGAGAGAAAAAGTGAGCTGAAAACAACCACACAGAACTAACTAACTTAACCTCACTCGGGCTGAAAACTGAAAGGCAGCGAGGAAAAATAGAAAGAAAGTAGTTTCTTTAGACTTTTCTCGTCAGAGATTCACTAACCTACATCTGAGAGGGTTTAAAAGTGAGGAAAGAGCAGAACCGAAGAGGAAAAAGCGAGCAGACAGAAGCGTTTGCCTTTCACATGAGAGAAGTGTTGTCGTTGTTTTGGTCGGAGTTGTGGTCTAGTTGAGCGCTCCGGTCTCCGTCTCGCTCCTGTCACTAATGTCGCAGGCTGAGCGGTGTGAGTGTGTATATGAGTGTGTGAGTGTGTGTACATGTCAGTGAGTGTGTGTGTGCGTGTGTTCAAAGTGGGGTTAGTGGAACTTGCGCTCGTATGGCAGAAAACCCCGCCCACTGCTTGATTGACAGGCCCCGTGCGCCACTGACAGCTCAGCTTTCTGAAAGCGAAACAGCGCGAGGCTTCCCCTCGACGCTTGTAAACACGGTTTCTTAAAGGGCCCGTGTCCCATATTTGTCTTGTGTTTTGTTTTTTGCCCCCTGAGGTTCACTTATAATGTGTGTGAGGTTTTTTGTTTGACCAAAAACACACAGTTCATTTTTACATGATCATTTACCAACTTCTCTTTAACTTTCAGAATTAAACAGTCTGTTTTGTTACCTTAAGACGGATATATGTAAATGAGCTCTGTTCTGATTGGCTGCTTATTCAAAGTGAACAACAGTGCAAGCAGATACACCCTTCAGCGTGAGTGGGAGGAGCTAAAATACTTTAGGCTGAATATTTAGAAATATGTAAATATTTGGTTGCATGGACTGGCGAGTGAATGGTACATTTTGAAATGTTAACTGCGTTTACATACTATATCAGACTTCTTCATTATTAAAACGGAGGAAAATTCAGTTATTCTGTGTTATGGACCCTTTAAAGAAATATCGCACTTATTTGCATGAATTCAATTCAATAGCTAGGCTGAAACTTCGCTACTGTTAAAGTTTCAAAGTTTCACTCTCCAGTCTTTACTGTGCCTATATGAAACTAAGCTAGAAAAACAGACAATTTTTTTGTGATGTCACAGAAACCATATTATTTACATACATCCAAGCATTCAGCCTACAGCAGTTTAGCCCCCGCACTGACGTTGTAAGGAGTGTTTCAGCCTGGAGTGCTTTTTGAATGAGGCACAGTACAGAGCAACCAATCAGAAAAGAGCTTATTTACATATCAGGGTAAGGCATACAGAGAGAGAACAGTCACGTAAAATGAATTACAGCTGTTTTTGATACATAAAATCACACAAACGTTATAAGTGGACCTCAGGGTGAAAAATAAATTACAAAAAAGTACAATACGGGCCCTTTAAAGTGAAGTTTTCCTCAGCACACTGCAGGTGAACACGGTCACATAAAGCCTCACATGAAGGTATACTTTTAATTTAGAAAGTGGTTGCCTTTTAAGTGCACAGAGAGTTTTCAAATATCATTAATAAACATTGTAGAGTTTAAATACTGCAGTGTTATTGTGCCTACTTTGCTGACTGAACCGTGGCTAACATGTACAGTCTGTACATCTAGGAATAGCTCTCATAGCTGTGTAATTATAGTGTAATTACATAACTGTCAGACAACTGATAGTGCTGGACTAAAGTATAGTTTACTTACTTAGACAGCAGATAGATAGTAAGGACTGAGGATATTTATAGATGCAAGTTTTCAGCACAGCCTTTCATAAGACACATCAGAGTCTTAAAGTGTGAATTGAAAGTTAATAAAGTCAAAAATCCTATTGACTGAATATTTTGAACATGTTAGATTAATCTTAATCACAACTAAAAAACAACAAATACAGTCATACAATACAAACATTATTTTAATACATTTATTTACAATTATTATACATTTGTATTATTATATACATTTTTGAACATAATATGAACGTAATGCTTATTTGCACAACTGTACAAATGCAATTTTTCTACAAATGTTCATGTCATTCTGTAATATTCTGTATATAGTTATTATGTTAAATGTCTACTCAGACCTGCCTATGTATAGATATTCATATCTGCATTTGTACAGATCTTCACACATCTCTTTGGCTCCTTTCACATCGGCCCTTTATTATTCTTTATTCTATTTTTTGTATTTTTATTTTATTTGTCCCATAACCATCCGATCACTCAAAATGTGCCTCACTACTCCAGATCATTTTACTGTTGACTGCTCTCGTTTGACAGCCTGAATTGTGGCTCGCAGAACTTTGGTGACCCCTTGTGGCTGATTTAGAGATTACACGCAGTTTCCAGCAGGCAAGGCGCTGTAGGGAGACCCTGAGGCCAATCCGGGATGAAGCGAAACGCCTGTGATGACCATGATCGCCCGAGGAGCAGCGGCCTGTCTTCCGCGACAATGTGCCAGCAAAAAGGTGCTCGGTTTGGGCTGCAGCCGTGATTTTGACGTCATCTCAAGTTTCCGGCTGTCAGCAAGCAGCCACACGACGGTTGACACACCCTTTAGCTACGCACACCTTCGCAAGAGCTTAAGACACGCTCGCCGTGTGACCGGAAAAAGCTCATAGAGCTCTTGCTGCTATAGTGCCGTCTGTCAGTGTAGCAGACACGCGTGGAGCGAGCTGTTAGCCGGCGAGTCACTACCACCTGAAGTGAGGAAGTGAGGAGCTGCCGTGAGTATGAAGTCATTCATTAGTCTAACAGCTACGAGGAGAAGACACGTTTAAATGGCTACGTTTAGCTGACGTTTAAAAAGCCTAACAGGGTTAGGTTAAGAAGGACTCGTGGCTTTACTGAATTCAGGCTGTTTCCCTGTTGCTTTATGAAACTGCTGAAAGACTACAGCGCTGTGAGCTCAGAGCCTCTAACAGTCTCTACTCAGCTGTCATTTCCAGTTTTGATTAAAGTAAAATAACTGAAACCATATTGAAAGAGGTAATTATGATTTTGTGGTTAGGTTTGTAGTCATTAGATAACCTGGCTAGTCATGTTAATTAAAGGGGCATTAAAGGGGCACTCAGGCAAATATCTAAAAAGTCACCATCACTATATCTGTTAAAACATGCCTACGTGCTTCCTACTGTGGTCCTTGGTGGTCTCTAGTGTGAGCTTTTCTGGTTTAAAGTCAAGGAAAACCCCCTTTTGGTGATGTACCTTGAAGGTGTTAGCAACTTTTTAAAAATCGCAAGGGGCCTGAGGTGGATTTTTGAGGGTGGGCTGTCAGGCTAACACAGAAGAAGCCAGACAGTTAAAGTTACTGTTAAGAAGCCGAATTTGTATTTTTTTATTCTCTACAGTCAGGACCCCCTAAGGGGATTCCCTCGCAGCGAGAAAGAAATGCATGATGGGTATTATGGGCTAGTGAGAGAACGAAAATACAAATACAAGGAACATGAAAATACAAAAGGATACAAAATCGTTAATTCTGTCAAACTGATGAGACCAAAGGATACAATATTACATAATATTACAAATTAAATGATATATTACATTTTCTGTTTTAGGCTGGATTGCCCTTTTACAATAGTATTACAAGTGCAAGTGTGTGTGAGTGAGTATGAGCGAGTGTGTGAATTTGCACACATGTAATGGTGTTATGTAAAACTGCAGTCACTCAGCCACTTCATTTGAAATGTTTATGCATATGAGCCAAGTCTAATGAAAGGTGTTTTAAATCTCTCATGTCTGGTTCTCCACACCCAGTTTAAGCTTAAACTAGCCTAAACTAGCCTAAGCCTAGACGATATGAGATTTTTAAAGGCGAAACGCCTTTGGCATTGCAATTTAGACCAACAAGAAGCCAGCCCTAAACATGTTATCTCTATTATGATTGTTAGTGGACAGTGTGATCTAAAACCTTAATTTTCTGGGTCATTAAAATGTTAGAAAGTCACTCTGAGCTCTGAGTTGCCTTTAAAACTACAGAGAATATCTTTAAACAGTGACAATGTGATTCCATGCAAATGAAAATGTGATGAAAAAGTTGTTTTCATTGTTAATTTAAATGTTTCTGACAGGTGGTGACACAAAGCGGATCACGAAATCATGGCACCGAGTTCTGTCGTTCAAGCCATCATAGACTTGTCTGCTGGAGCCTGTGGTACAATATTTCAACTTTCTTTAATACTTTTCACTTTCTTTTTCTTCTTTACCTCTGTTTTTAGTAAAAATAAGCTCATACACCTGTAGCTAGTCAGTAGCAACCCTATAAGATGTCCAATAGTATGTTAGAGCTAGGCTTTCACTGATGCACATGAACATTTTTTTACCGTTCTGCCTTACACATGGGCATTTGAAGCTTGTGGAAGACGTTCTATATGTTTAATCTGAAGCTTGTAACAGACATCAACATAGACCCTAGTCAACTGACATGTTTTGTTAATGTTATAAGTGAAAATAAGGTTACACATCCTCTATGGACAACACACTAATGCACATTTTAGTGTACAATATTTGCGAAATGTAACATATTAGGGGAAAAAAACATAAAATGTGACCTGCACAAAAATGATGGCGCATTTTAAATATGTTAAATTCAGCAAATAAAGAGAAACTGTGCACTAAACTTTTCAGAAACATGGCTTATTTACGTCAGTTGCCTGTAGAGGATGTGTTAACATACTTTCACTTAATCAGCATTATTAACAAAACATGTAATGTGACCAGGAGTGTTTAGCAAAGGACCGTATAGTTTATCTTGTGATAATATATATATAGCAGTGTCTCTTTTAGTACAAAAACATTTTGTTCCACTCATTGTAAATTAACACATGATTGGATGATTTCATTGTTGCTTCCTAATTGTGTTGGTGGTTAATCTAATAGGCAAGGAATTCAGTTCAGCTCCTGCAGTCCTAACCAATAGGAAAGGTTGTTTGCCTGGATCTACCTACATACTACAGAGAAAAGAAATTTTAACCGTTTTGTTTCCAACCAAAATTTAACAACAATATAGCATTACTACAACACTTACAGAGTTGAAATACAACTAGCATGATGATTCTGTTAAATACCAATAAGCTAAAATGACAGACATGTATTTATGTATTTTGTATTGTGTAGTTAGAAGACATCTTTGTGTTGAATATCCATTAAATATACTAAACCAGGGGTGATGTTTGACTTTGACCTTAATTGCAGTTACATTTTTTGTATGCAGTGTGCTGAGTCTGCACCGTTTGATTGAATGGAAATGTGTGGCATAATTGAACTTCATACAGAAATGTATTGTTTTGAGTGTAAGATAGCATGTTTTTGTGTTAAAACACATGCAGTTTTTGTTTGTAACACGTATGTTTTGAGGTGTAGAACACAAATAGATGTTTCTGTAAACAAATCCCTACACCTTTACTGCACCTGCAGGTAACATGAGTAGCACTGTTTTTAACAACATTTCCTCCTGCCTTTTTAAGGTGGTGTAGCATGTGTACTGTGTGGCCAGCTGTTCGACACTGCCAAGGTGAAGATGCAGACTTTCCCCAACATGTACCGAGGCTTTATGCATTGCTTCGTGTCCATCTCCAGACAGGTGGGCCTGCGTGGTCTGTACCAGGGGACCACCCCAGCTTTGCTGGCCAACATTGCCGAAAACGCTGTCCTCTTCATGAGTTATGGCTTCTGCCAGGATGTGGTGCGCTTTGCGATCGGATTGGACAGAGGAGCCGAACTCAGGTGAGATACTTTGTTCTAGTGGTGGAATTTTACCTTAGAAGTCTAGAGCTGTTATAGTTATTTTGTTAAACATTCAAAATTACCTTATAGATTGCACTAAATTACAAGAATCTTCATTGCCAGTAAAATATTGTAAATGTACAGTATTGCAGTAGACATTTTATAGTCATGGCTAAAATCACAGAAACTATTGTAAACTGATGGTATGTTCCTGTATACAGAAAATGTAACACTACATTAAACTAGACAAACAAGTAATGTTACAACAAATTCAGGTCAGTTTAGTTGCCAGTACATTTGGGTACAGCTACAGGTAATACTTACTCACTGGTGTGAACTACCAAGGTGCAACCTGCAATCTTATTTCAGGGCCTGATAGCCAGAATCTGTAGGGGCAACACTGTACAGTTATGTAACTATAGCACTAGCTACAGCAACAAGCTACTGATTTGCTGATTCCAAAGCCATAATAATGTTCTTGATGATTATTATTTCTCTTCTATGATATGTCGAAAGCATTTTAAACTTATGTATAGAGTCATATGCAAACTTTTGAATACCTCTGGTCAAATGACATGTCTTGTTGATTTTCTTAGTGAAAATAAGTTAAGGGAATAAACTTAAATGTGACATTTTTCTGTAAATTTTAATGCACAAGTTCTATTTATTTGCTGAGGAAAAAATAAAACATGAAATGTTGAATGTACCATAACTTTTGCACAGGTCATACTTTTTTGTGTTTTATTTTCTTCCAATATGGTAAACTCAGCAAATAAACAGTAATTGCACATTGAAATGTGTAGACATGTGTTATCTTTGGAGAATGTGTACTAATTTTCAGTTCAGCAACACACGTAAATTGACCAGGGGTGCTCAAACTTTTGCATTTGACTGTATATTATATATTCTTGTCAGTGTTCAAATGTTGTGGAATTTAAAACAGTGTCCCAGTTTTCTCATTTTACTTATGTAAGTTTCGTAGGAGATTCTGGGATCTACAGTAGTGCTAAGAATGGATATCGACTCCCAGATTTCATAGCAGATTGGAGCAACACACCATATTTCAAGAAAACAGCATTTTCTTACAGTGTACTTTACAGATATTTTTAGATGTAATTGCAGACTTACATAATTAATTACATAGTTATATAATAACTACATTTATGTAAAATGAACATTCTGTATCTACAGGTTCGAGTTTGCACTTCTGCCTTTTTTGTTTGGAAAAAAAATGACTAAAACATGACAAAAATCGAAAAGACGTTTTTTCTTTCCACAAAACTTTTCTTTCATATCATAATAAAATGTCTTTTGTTATGCTCAAGAACAAATGCAGTATCCGTTAAAGGTTTGCACAGAAACTAATCTTTACATCTTTTTAACCACTTTTTTAAATGATTATCTTTTCACCTTTCACTTTCAACCACAATGGCATGTAGTTTTAATGAACAGCACAGTCATTTTTTCAGCGTTTTTCTGAGAGTCTGCACAGAATTGTTTCTAAAGAGAAAGTGGGACATATTTCATCAGAATGAAAGAAGATGTGTTCTACAGCACGTACGCCATGGGGGACCTAGGAGGGTTAATCGTCACTTGGTTTAGTAATTAGCAATTACTGCGCAGTAAGGTTACAGGAATGAGGTCCCTTTGGTAGTTATTATGAATATTGTAAATATGTAGCAGCTGAGTGGAATGGTTGGAGGCTTTAGATGACTGTAACTGTTGAGTCTAGTGCCTAATGTGAGAGATAATGAATGCATGCAGTGGTTAATGAAAGGTGTTTTGTGTTTCAGTGACGTTCAGAAGGCATGCTCTGGCTCTGTGGCCTCCATCTTCTCCTCTCTGGCTCTCTGTCCCACTGAGCTAGTGAAGTGTCGCCTGCAGGCCATGCACGAAATGGAAGCATCTGGGAAAATCGCCAGTGGACAGAAAAGGTAGTGTTCAAAAAAGTTTAAAATATTCTGAAATGCTGTTTGACAGTTTCAGTGTATAATCTCAGATGAACTGTATTCATGTGGTCAATCGTCTTTTTATTAATATAATCCTCACTTCACTTATCTAAATCTCTCTCACTCTGTTCCTGTTTCTCCCTTTCTCAGCACAGTGTGGTCTGTGGTCAGGAATGTCTTGAGGACAAATGGTCCTCTGGGCTTCTATCAAGGCTTGAGCACTACAATAGTACGTGAGATCCCTGGCTACTTCTGCTTTTTTGGAGGCTATGAGCTGAGTCGCTCCCTTTTTGCCCGCACCATGGGGAGGGACAAGGAGAACATAGGTAACCTGATTATTTTATGAACTTTAGATGCTTTGAAATAAAATTGATATATGAGTATATTCTAGGGAAACTGGAGCTCCTCACTTTGCTGTTGCTTTTGTTATTTTACTGCTAATTGATTTATTCATATAGGTCGAAACATCAACAAGGCCGAAGTTGGCTTTTGGTTCGAATTTACTGGTCCACCTTAAATGGAGAGTCTGACTGCTGCACAATTTAAGGTGGAACTGCAAATCTAAATAAGAAGCTGGCGAATTGAAAGCTAACTTCAGCTTTGTGGAACTAAGGATGGTTTAAAAGGTCATAATATAAAATGAGTTAACAGTGTTTTAAAAAATTTTGGTGGTATTATTACAATAATAATATAATGATATGAGTAAAGCATTAACATTGATACCTCTAATATAAAATATATTTAAATGTGTTTTTTTATGTGAAACAATTGTATTTTGAATGAAACCATGAAGTTCATTCACAATGAACTGCCAAAGATTGTAAATAGTTGACGTTGTCAAGTGATGATGTCACTTTAGGTGTGGATTTATTTTTTTTTTATTTTCCTTGATTTTTATTTTGACTGGAAAATTTCTGAGACCTAGTCCAGATTAAACGTAGGCTTTCTTGGACTACAAAATGTTGAAGTTATGCCACATCATAAAGAAATGCTTCTAACTGACGTGTCCATCTGTTTGTCAGGGGTCGTTCCCTTGATGTTCAGTGGTGGGTTTGGAGGGGCCTGTCTCTGGATAGTAGTTTATCCAATAGACTGCGTAAAGTCCCGTATTCAAGTGCTGTCCTTAGCTGGGAGGCAGGAGGGCTTCCTCAGGACTTTCATGGGGATTGTGCGAAATGAAGGTGAGGGTCAGTTTAACACTAATGTACATACACTGCCAAAAAAACCATGATATGTCATCATATGTGTTGGCTTTACACTTAAGTGCCTGTGTACGACTGTTGTGTAGTACTTCTTAATCTCTACAGATCTGTTGACACGTCCAGACTTCTAGGCCTTACGCCTAAAATGTATTAATAGCTCTGTCATTTGTCATTGTTTCCAATGTAGGTTCTGAATAATAAGCCTTAGGATGTGAACAATAAACTTAAGTGGTTGAGAAGTACAATATTTCAACAACAGATTCAATATGGTGTAGGAGCAAAGAGTTGACAACATACAGAGTAGGCTGGGTTTCAAAATCCTAAAGGAATATTGTATCATTTTTTTAACAAAGTGTACAAAATTGACCTCTAGTTAACACTAAGCGTTTGATGTGAGGTCACATAGGTTTTTGTTGAGGGAACATAAATAACTCTGTCATTAAATGGTAATGACTTTCACATCACCAGCCTTCACTATATACAGAGTTATGCAAAAGTGTGGGCACCCCTGGTCAAATTACAATTTTTGTTGATTTTCTAAGTGAAAATACACATTTACTACAGAGAACACATTTTAATGCTCAATTACTGTTTATTACTAAATTTAATGTTTTGGAAAGCAAAAACATAAAATATGGCCTGTGCAAAAGTTATGACACATTTTATATTTTTTAGGTTTTATTTTTTCCAGTATGTTGAACTCGGCAAATAAATAGAAATTGTGCGCTCAAATTTGCTGAAAGATGCCATATTTAAGTTTTTTCCCTGTAGAGGATTATAAAATCTTTAACATAAGCAAAACATGTAACTTGACTAGGGCTGTTCAAACCTTTGCATACAACTGTAAATGGTATACAGCAGATACATTTACATTTTTACCACAAAGGCCAAATGTCACATTACATCTTTTCAGATGTGAGCATTTCTGTTAAATTTTGCAGCTAACCTCACTTGGCAAGCTTTGTCACAGCACCACCGTTATGTCCCTTTGACTAACCAATAATACACTGATCTACACAGTTATAACTTGCTATGTCATTTCACTCCAGAAAATATTAGAACACAATCTCATGTTATCAAAATCCACATATATTTACGTAGATGCAGCGCAATGTTCAAGTGTCCAGCATGACTAGCCGTTTGGATATTTTAAGAATCACATCAACTAAAAGTACACTGAGAATGGATGCAATACCGATAAAAATTAAATGCCACTAAAAGTCAGTTGTCATAATGCACTATGACCCCAGAAAGTGTCATGACACGACCTTATGTTACAACCATCTGTCACTTCACGTAGGTTTTATGTCAAGTCGACATGAAAGTTGACAAAAGCAACCTTTATGATAGCTGACATCTGTTATAATAAGCTTTTATTACAAAAAAATAGGATTATGTCATTTCTCATGAAAGGCCTGTGTAGCTGTTGTGTAGCTTTATGAATAATAGCTCTTGTTCTTGTGCTTGTTCACTAAGTGTTAGTGAAAATCTTTATCTTACTTGAAAAGATATTTTGACATTGATTAAGAAAGCATGTAGTGGACTGCAACATAGTTCTTGTTTTTCTCTTTCCAGGAGTGTGGCCTCTGTACTCAGGTTTGACCCCAACTTTGATCCGGACCTTCCCTGCCAATGGTGCACTCTTTCTGGCCTATGAACTTAGCCGTAAGATGATGATGAAACAGTTTGACGTTTGACTGTTACAACTGTAAATTCAAAGGTTCCAGCCATTCCCTTGCACAGCAAAGGTGCTGATATTGTAACACACAGTATTGCAAAGTCAGGGAATAATTATTATTTTTTATTATTTCATTTCAAAGGCGCTTCTAATGCTGGCTGTTACTTTTGTAGTATTGAAGGAAGTAATCACAGTGATTTTACTCTGAACAGTATTCATATCTGTTTAGTAGCAGAAAGACTGTCAGCATGAAAATCAGGCAGTCAGCATGTATTGAATCTAATCCTGTCTGCCTGTCATTAAATCTCTCTTAATTTGTCCTGATGTCAGTCAACTCACTTATTTTTGGGATGTAGAATATGTTTTTTTCCACAGGATATTTTAGTGTATCCCTTTTTTTTATTCACTTTAACTGTGCGGCCAACAGCATGGCTTTCATTATCTCTGTCTTCACATATGTATGTGTATGGTGCTATTTTCATTGTGTCTGGTTTCCAAGAATTAAGTTGTATGTTTTTTTTTACTGTGGAGAACATATTAATTTTTAGAGTGACTTAATATTTTTTTATAAATTAAACATATTAAAAATAGATTAAGTATTTTTAGAACGCACACAGCCCACAAATCACTACAGTTCTCAGAAATTCACTTCTCAAGAAGAATTTAAACTGGTTTTGGCCATGGTTTTGGTCATGCACCTTTCAGAGTGAAATATAGGCCTAGTCACTGAAACAGGAAAATGTGGCAAGCAAACAAAGTATCCTCATGCAATTGCTGCCTGGTATTTCAAGTTTGTTTCGTTGTGCATGTTGCACTAAACTGTGCATGATTGGATATTTTGCATGTCATTCAAACAGCCCTTTCCTGTCACAGTTCTTGAAATCTACCCGTTTTTCCTTACGAGCCTGTTTTTTAGCACAGTTTTAGGCAGCTTGCAGTTGAATTGGTTTCATTTTGTGTAGTATTTCCACACTAAGTACAACCCCATTTCCAAAAAAGTTGGGATGCTGTGCAGAATATAAATAAAAATAGAATGCAATAATATGCAAATCATGTAAACCATGTTTTTAAATGAAAATACTGCAAAGACAATATATCAAACGTTGAAACTGAGAAATTGTCCATTTTGAATTTGATGGCAGCAACACATTCCAAAAAAGTTGGGACGGAGGCATTTTTACCACTGTTTCATCACCTCTTCTTTTTACAACACTCTGTGAGTGTTTGGGAACTGAGGAGACCATTTGCTGTAGTTTTGAAGTGATATGTTTTCCTATTCTTGTTTGATACAGGATTTCAGGTGCTTAACAGTTTGGGGTCTCCTTTGTCCTATTTTTCATTGCATAATGTTATCAGTGGGTGACAGGTCTGGACTGTAGGCAGGTCAGTTTAGCACCTGGACTCTTTTAATATGGAGCCATGCTGTTGTAATACATGCAGAATGTGGTTTGGCATTGTCTTGCTGAAATGAGCAAGGCCTTCCCTTAAAAAGACGTCGTCTGGATGGCAGCATATGTTGCCAAAACCTGTATATATTGTTCAGCATTAATGGTGCCTTCACAAATGTGCAAGTCACCCATGCCATATGCACTAATGCACCCCTATACCATCATGAATACTGGCTTTTGAATTGTACGCTGATAACAAGCTGAGTGGTCTTTAGCCTAGAGGACACAGTGTCCATGATTTCCAAAAAAATTCAAATGTTGATTTTTTGGACAACAGGACAGTTTTCCACTTCGCCTCAGTCCATTTTAGATAAGCTCGGGCCCAGAGAAGGCGGTGGTGTTTCTGGATCCTGTTTATATATGATTTCTTCTTTGCATTTTAGAGTTTTAATTAGCATTTGTGGATGCAGCGGTGAACTTTTTTCATAGACAGTGTTTTTCAGAAGTGTTTCTGAGCCCATGCAGTGATTTCCTCTACAGAATCATATCTGTTTTTTAATGCAGTGCCACCTGAGGACCCAAAGATCATAGCCAGCAAATACTGTTTTTTGGCCTTGTCCCTTACATACAGAGATTTTCCCAGATTCTCTGAAACTTTTAATGATATTATGTACCGTAGATGATGAAAAGCAAACGTTCTTGGCTATTTTACGTTGAGAAACATTATTCTTGAATCGTTGCACTATTTGCTCCCCATCTTTACTTCTGAAAGACTCAGCCTCTTTGGGATGCTTTTTATACACAAACATGTTACTGACCTGCTGCCAATTAACCACCAGGTGTTTGTTTTTTTTAGCATTACACAACTTAACCAGTATTTTGTTGCCTATGTCCCAAGTTTTTTGAAACCTGTTGTTGGCATTAAATTCAAAATGGGCATATATTTTTCATGGGCATATATTTTCACATATGTTTCAACATTTAATATGTTGTCTTTGTTGTCTTGATATGTTTTCTATTTTCAATGCAATATAGGGTTTAAATAATTTGCACGTCATTTAATTTTTTTTATTTTGCACAGTGTCCCAACTTTTTTGGAAATTTGAAATGGGGTTGTACTTTGGGCTTTGAATTAAAAACCTCACATTTTTAAGGATGAAGGTCTCCTTCTATTGTTTTCATGGAACTGCAACATAATCTGATGATTTTCTTGTCAAACCGAAGCAAAATGTAGCCTTTCTGTGCTCTCAGTAATCATTATCCATTTCTTCTACAATATTTAAATTACAGTATGACTGTATATCTCTTTGCTTAAAGGTTATGCACAAGCTTCTGTTATTTTGACCTCTGTCTTGTTAAATTGTTTCATGAAAATGTCATTTAGTTTCAGTGTTCAGGCGAAGAGACCTCTCTTGTCAGTTTTGCTAGAGGAGATAGAGCCACTAGTCAACCAGTTAGACTGCTCTGAGTATGATTTGCTTAAATGCTGTGAATCTGAGAGTGCTTTGTTAAAACAAACTATTTCGAAGCATGTGAAGAAACAGGCCACTGAATATGTGGTGATAATGTGTTTTTATTTCTATGCCATTGACAATGCCAGGAATTCTTTTCAGCCACTTAAAGTGATACTGTGTTTAGACACTGTCCCTTCTGAACTTCACCATGGCAAAACAGACTTCTCTTTGCATGACTATTCAGAAATTTGCACTGGGATTTCAGTGGTCATACTCCTAGAGGTTTTCACTACTTGTGAGCAGGAGAGGAACGGGCAGGAGACTTAGAGTGTTCTACTCTGCTGATTCCACTGCTGATTCCACTGTGAGTGAATGAGGAAAAGTCAATGTATATTTCCATAACATTTCCATCTCCAGCAGGATCTGTCTCTATGGTGAGCAGCAATGTGGCTACCATAGTAGCAGCAGCGGAGGCGGACATCAGATATAAAGCTACAGACTGGTCCCTCAGGAACACAGAGGTTTTGTGTACTGTTAAAATATGCAAAAGACTTTGAACAATGAATGCCACAGTTTGAACTACTGATGTTTATTTAAACAGTAATTAATGTGGTCATTGTACCGTTTTACATTGTTATTTATTGTTGGGCTATCTTGTAGACAGGTTGCTAAACAAATAAACTGGATTAAAGTGCTAGTTAACAGACACCAATTTTTCATTTTTATTTGTACAATTTCATGAATCCCCAATGAAATATTGGAGTGAAACTTTAGTCTGATTAACATAGTATAGTGATCTAATGTTAACTCTGGTTAAAACTTATGCAGTGAACTCCAATTTCATCAATATGTATTAACAAATATACAGCAATTTGGTAGTCTGATATTTTTTCTGCCAACTGGTGTCTTAAATGCTTCATTCTACTAGTCTTCTGTGGGATTTGCCGTGTTATGTTAGCATCAAGATAGAGCTGCTGTATATTTATTTCCTACACTAAGTTTAATGTTACTTAGGCAGGCTACTTAAACATGGACAAGCTTGTAATAGACATTCAAATGGTATATTCTTTACTTTGTATGCTGCAGTTTACAGTGAATCCTAACTCTTAATATTTTTAGAGTAGCCTGTTAGCCTGTTTGCTATTTGCAAAGCTAGACCTAGAAAAACAAAACCTTTCATTTTATATACCTTTCAACATTTCACTTCAATTTCTATTCAATTTATATACATGCAGTTTGTAACTATAAGCATATGTGCATTTATGAGATCCTCTCTTTCAATGATGCACGCAAAAGTATTTTGAGTGACAACAGCTTAATAATAGTTTTATAAGCATGGCTTTATAATAACCTGTGGATTTTTTTTATCATTCACATTTCAAACCTAACATAAACTTCAATCAATTCATTTTTTTTTAAATAATTGATATCACTTTAGTAAAAATCACTACTAAATTGCCCGATTAGATTTTATTTGCCCACTTTAAAAAAAAGGCCTAAAAGCAGCTCTACTACAGGTCATGTTCTGACTAGCCACATGAAATATCACATAGGTACAAATAAGGCAATATTACTTGCAACTAATTGGCAAAGTGGCCAATTACTGAATAGGTACTAATTGTACTTGTAATGACAACAGTGATGAAAACTCTGATTGTGGTTGCAAAGTGGCTCCACACCAGCTAGCCAGCCTTCCATGTCAGCACAAAAGAGCTCATGTTGGCTCCATGTGGCACAGAGGGAGTCACACCATAATCAGTGTTGATGGGGCAACAGTGGAAAGTGTGAACCACATCACACTCCTACGGTTGCAAATCTTGGAGAACCAGTCCAACCCTAAACACTGCAGCCATCCTGGAAAAGGTACAACGGCAAAGAACAAAGTGTGTGGAAAAACACTTGCACTCTACAAAAGCAAAGCAAAATGGAATTTGGTATTTAAGATCATTTAAGACAAAACACAATAAATGATGATTGTGCCAAACGTATTCATGTTGAAAGAAAAATCCTTTTTAATACTGTACATGATATTGTTTTTATATATTATTTTGTATATGTTACATGCCGTACAATATTGTGCAAATGTTAGAGACCACACCTTATTGACTAAATTTCCAGTCAAAATGGCCATCATTTTTCATTTTATTCATTTTTCAACATCAGGAGAAAGTTTTCAACAACTAAATACAACATAATTTTTTAATTATTCAGTGTTTACCATTTTCTTTTGTTAAAGGTTCTATTCTTTTCAGGAGGCTTGCTTTCAGAGAAATCTGCAATAAAATGTCAGTTTTTCAGTATTGAGTGTGTCCGATGTTTGTCTTTTTACTGCTTCTACTCTTTTTGGGAGACTCGCTTATAGTTTTTCAAAGAAATTTGCAGGGACATTTTTCCACACCTACAAAGCTCAGTCTTGGAAGTTGGTTGCTTATTCTGCTTTTCACAATCCAAGTAATCCCAAGTATATTCTGTGATGTTGAGGTCTGGACTCTGGGGTGGTCAGCCCATTGGTCTGAGAACACCAGCAGATTCTTTATTTGATTTGCAAATTTTCTACTTTTGTCTATTTTCTTTTCTCAGTAACAGCTTCTTGACAGCTACACATCCTTTCAGACCCAGCTTTAAGTACCGTTTATCTGATGGGGACAGTTTTGGTCATCTACCATTTCTTGCATGGTTGTTAGGAGTCCTGTTTTCTTTGTATCTTTTAATAATATGTTAAACTCCAGTTTTGGAAACTCACTTCACTTATCTGCTGTTTTGACTGGAAATTAAATAAATAAGGGGTGGTCTCTGACAAACATATTGATTGTCAAACATTATATTATGCATTCTAATACAGAATGTTGTAGGCTATTTTAGGTTCATGTACTTAGATCACGGTGGCGCAGTGGGTAGCGCTGTCGCCTCACAGCAAGAATGGCCTGGGTTCGATTCCCGGCCGGGCGACCGGGGTCATTTCTGTGTGGAGTTTGCATGTTCTCTCCGTGTCTGCGTGGGTTTCCTCCGGGTACTCCGGTTTCCTCCCACAGTCCAAAGACATGCAGTCAGGCTGATTGGACATGCTAAATTGCCCCTAGGTGTGAGTGTGTGTGTGAATGTCTATGTCTGTCTGTCTGCCCTGCGATGGACTGGCGACCTGTCCAGGGTGTATCCTGCCTTCCGCCTGATAACAGCTGGGACAGGCTCCAGCACCCCACCGCGACCCAGAAGGATAAGCGGTTTAGATGATGGATGGATGGATGTACTTAGATCAAGCTCTAGAGAGTGTAGCGATTACAGAATTAAGTTTTAGTATATGATCACAAGCATTACTCATTGTCTATTGTCTCTGACTTCATAGCTTCAGTTTGGTGATGTGGTTCCAAACTATACATTATTTCTCCTTCATTAATATTGAAGCCTATCAGATATCAACATATGATAAATATATCTTATGCAATCAACGAAAGACCAACATAAAGGCAAATATTAGGCCTATCTTGTGAAGTGCTTATTAGCACTTAAAGCTCAGCTGTAGCTGGTGGTATCTCTGTGCTTCACTCCACACACACCTGTAGCTGAGAGGTAAGAGGAGAAGCCACGCCCCTGCGAGACAGTAGGCACATTAAAAGCTCCCCTGTTACGTGTTCTTCCACACACCAAGCAAACAACTTCACACACGTATCAAGATGACAACTCTGGATGTGATGAACAACAGCAAGATAGACAGACAGAGCATGGACAGACAATCACAATCCAACAGCCCCAGACCTACTATACATGGTATGTAGGAAAACTAGCAAGATTTCTATTCCCTTAGAAGTTACAGTAATTGTAGATAACCAAAGCATGGGTTTCTGTATTAACCCTTTCATGTCTGGGGCTTGATCATTTAGTACGATGAGGAAAAATGACACAGAACCTGTTCTGATGGGTCTAAAGTGATGAAATGCTTTATGACTACGCCTTAGATGAACATCTAATAATAGAATAGTCACTTTTTTATGCTTACATATAGATTTCATTTCTTTTTTTTGACTTTTATTGACATACTTTTATTGAGAATTTTCTATTGATTTGTAGAAAATCAGTAGTTCGATGTAGCCAGAAACTAGATTTAATATGATAAATAAAGTGAAATAACTCACTTTATGTTTTGATTCAGAGAACGCATGAACCAACTGAAATTTAAAAATCAATTATTGGACAATAATAGATTAATTATTTCTCAGTCGTAGCTCATTGAAAGAAGCAGGCATTCTGTTAAAAGTGCTGATTCTGAACTTCCAATCGTCATCACATTTGTGTGTATAAGTAGACAAGGAGATATTTCATTATGCCCCAAATTTGTTGAAAAAGTAGTGTTGCGTGGACAGTCTTGTTTGTGGAAAGGGAATAAAAACCTGTAATTTTTTTTGGCACATTTTTGTCAAAAGCAAAAAGACAAAAAAAGTTGAAAGTGCAGACTCGAATCAAAATTGAATGTGAATGTAATTCGTTATGTAACTCACTGTATAAATACTAGGGGTGTAATGCACAGTTCAGTTCAGACCTAGATTTTTTTGGCCATGGTTTGGTTCATACTTTGTCTTGTTTTTATGTTTTGTCTGGATTTTTTAGGAGGTGAGGGGTGATTAAGAAAAAAATGGAAAGATTTATGGGTTTATTAATCACCAACAATTTGGAACACTAAAGGGAAGAACACTAAAGAACATGGTACACAGCTTGCAGCTTTACTAGAATAATAATTATGTAATTACATGTGTTATAGCATTAATTGTGAAATGAAAAATGAGCTTTGTTACATTTTTAATGTATTCAGAAGCTCAACAGGCTGCACCAGCAGTGGTGACAGTGGGTTGGGGTTGGTGTTGGGGTATCACGGTTCTGTCTTCCAGAACCACTGTGACAAGAAACCGTTGATGTTTGTATTGCAGTTTTCGGTTTCAGAATTTAAATATGTTTGAATAGTATAGTAAAATGAAAGATGTTTTCACCTTCTAATGCTTAATGACTGAGAGAGAGTAGTCACAGTAGCTATGAAAAATGTTGCTTATTATCTTAGACATTAGCTTAGAAAGCCACTAGCTTGGAAAACAAACTCATTTTTTGGTTTTAAAATGTCATTATTTGTTGCAATGCATTTGTTGTGGCCATTTGTAGACCAGTAGTGTGGTCAGAAAGATTCTCCAAGTGGGTGAGCTGACGTTTCAGTAATTAACAATGAGAAGTTTTACTGCTGCATTGTAGATGAATCACAGGCAAAAAGAACAGCACACTTTGCTGCTGTCAGAGCACTGAGAAGCCATCTGTGGTGTGGGACAGGAAGCTGCAACTCATTACGTAAAATAAAGTAAACAGTGGAGTTGGTCTAAATGATCGTCATCAGACATTTTCAGCAGAAAGTGTTGTTACACAACACAGCAGCAGCCTGTAGAAACCAACCAGACAACTTCAGAGGAACTGCACAGTCCTAATATAACAGTTTATAATGAATCACTGCGTATGCAGGGTTTCTGGAAAAAGCATTGCAACACTCTAGAGAGGAGCCCTTTGTCTGGAAACTCTAACCCTTCTCAGGTGTCTGTAAGCTATCTATAACCTTCCTGACAACCTTTCGGCATCCTAACAACCATTGTTTCACATGTGTTAGTGTGGTTAGGAGGTTCAGTACCACACTAACATGTGTTTGGACACATCTGTATGTTTACATAATCTTTGATCTAAAGGCTGATGCTGTGCTTAAATGCTTGATGTTTGTTTCTAAGACCAACATACAAAGTGAATTAGTTGCCTATGTATAAATTAATCAAATTGTATTAAATTAATTTTTGTAAAAGTAGATTTCAACAGCCAACAAGATCTCAGCACCTGTGGAACTTCTTTGGTGCCTCCATCATTGAATCTGCTTTAGAGATTGTCAGGAGTGTGCAAAGCGTAAACGTGTAACAATACCAGTACAGTACTGCAGGGTCAGCTCTAGCCTTTTAGGGGCCCTAGAAGCAGGATTTTGTATCACTATGTCACACTACTGGAGGAAGATTCTTAAACCACTGAAGCAACTAATCTAGCCTGTTGCTCAATGGCCTACACTATCATGGCTGCAAACAGCACATAGAGTCAGAAAAATCAATCATGTAATGTGAGTTTTACAATCCAGACAGTCAGAATGTTATACAACCTCCAGATTTGTCCATAAGCCATACAGTCTGACCCTCACTTCGTGAGAGCAATGTAGTGACCCACAGCAGCAGCATAAGTATGACTTGGAGGCACATGGTCAGTTACTGGAAGCAGTTACATCATGTAATACTGGAAAGCAGGAAGGAAATGGCTAAACTGGATAAGTAAGAAAGAAAGAAAGAAAGAAAGAGAAAGAAAGAAAGAAAGAAAGAAAGAAAGAAAGAAAGAAAGAAATTTGCTTTAAAAAGTTACCAAGTAATGACAATAAAGCTTATGAAAATAACGTTTATTATTTATTATTACCATTTCTTATTGTTTAATAAACTGCTTATTAGCTTCAGATGTAAAGTTATTTTCTCTCCTTTAGATGACACACCTCGTTCTCTGGGCTTCTGCGGCTGGTTTTTCATCATCCTCTCTGTCATTTTCACTGTATCACTGCTTCCTGTCACCATATTTATGTGCATCAAGGTAAGAAACAATCAAGGTTAGAAAGATACCACAAACAGATATGCACTCACTGTAATTTGCCTTTGTAATGAGCTAAATGTTAATTCAGATTGTGCAGGAATATGAGAGAGCTGTGATCTTTCGTTTGGGTCGCATCATGGACAGAAAACCAAAAGGGCCAGGTATAACAGCACTCTTTCATTTACAGTGTATTCATTTAAACGATTCATTTAAATGTTTATCATCCTCTCTATCATTTTCACCATGAACTACTAGTATTAGTACAACTAGTACTATGAACTATGAGTAGTTCATTCCTATACAATCCTTTATGTGAGTCTGAATAAGCATCATAACATATGAAATTAACAAAAAGTTTGTCTGCTTGTTTGGTTTATTTTCCATGTATGTTTCTGTGTAGGAATGTTTTTTGTGCTGCCCTGCACTGATACCTTCACAAAGGTGGACTTGAGATCTAAGTCATTTGATATTCCGCCTCAAGAGGTAAACTTTGTATCAGGGAATTGCTCACATTAAAAGACTGCATATTATTACAGCTAGAATACTGGGGAAAGCAACACATCCTGTTTTTGCTAAACAGTTTTAAAAATATTTGAGTGACATTTAATATTTCTTTGTTCAAGCAACCTACAAACCTCTGCTACAAATGAAAACATAAACTTTATATTTACCATTTATGAATAATTTAGACAGAGTGTGTACAAATGTAAGAACTTATTTAAATGTCAGAACTTAAGCAGGATTAATACATGAACTGTACAATAGCTTACTGTTACAGCTAGCTATTGTAATGGGCCATTAAAAAGTCTGGTAAATCGGAGCCAAACACATTTATTTCAATATAATGTTTCTTTGAACCAGACATGCTTACAAACCTAAATACATGCAGTACATGAATCAAGTTAAATGCAATTGGAGGAAAGAAGCTGTGTCAAATGTGCCAAGTTTACTTTTAGTTACAAAGTAGAAGAGCTAATATCAGCAACATAATTGAAACTTATTTTATGTACAGTGGGGACAAAACATTTTGAGACCACTTGTGAAAATGCTTCAGTTTTTTGGTATTGGTATTGCAATTTGAGTGAAAAGTAAAATCTTTAAAATATTTAAATGAATTTCAGAATTTTGTATTGTTTGAGCTGGCACATACTCTGATCTCTAACAGTGACAAAAGCCTCTGGTGAGCAGATCAAATCCTGATATTCCTCTGAACATGAGCGTCAAACAGAAGGAATAAAAAAATGACCTTTTTGTACAAAGGCCTCAACACAAATTTGCTTACATTTGAAGAGTGATCTAGAAATAGTGCAGAATTTCAAATATTTCTTCTTGATGTTATTTGTCATAATTCAAAATTCTAAAATGTTCTGTTGTTTATTTCCAGGATTAAATTTAAACAACCTTAGATTTGAATGTAGTCACTGTACATTGTACTTGACATCTTCAGCATGGTTTTGTCTGTTTCAAAAAAGCACTGTGTTAAAACTAACTCTGCCAGGTGGAGGCTGTACTTTAGCCTGACTAGCTCTCACTGTGAGATATTTACACATTCAAAGTTGTGCTATATTACAGACACTAAGAGAGAGATTAAAATGGTATAGATGTGAATTCTGTGACAATCGAAAAAAGTGTGTCAAGAAAAAAGTTACTTTTATGGTACAAAAACAATCTTCGCAAAAAAATTTGAGAAATATGTGTTTGCTGTCAGAGTCGACAGATGAGGTTGCTATGGGAACAGGAATCCCATATTTGAAATATCCATACACCCCATGTTAGGTTGTGCCCCACTCTGCTCTGCTAATGGAATCTATGACCAGCCCCTTCCTCTACTATAACCACTGTAACTAAACCTAACTAATCTAATCTTAATTGTTGAATAGTATAATGAAAGGACACTTGCTCTCTGTATTCATTATGTGATATAATACTTACCAGAAACTGAATTCAGAATTGCAGCACAGAGCTTCTACCTCTCAAAACCATGCACATCTCTCTTCTAAGAGTAGATTCTGACCAAGGACTCTGTGACAGTGTGTGTGGATGGTGTGGTTTACTTCCGGGTCAGTGATCCCATCTCGTCTGTGGCGAACGTGACAAATGCTGACCTGTCCACCCGTCTGCTTGCCCAGACCACCCTGAGGAACGTCCTGGGCACTAAAAACCTGGCAGAGGTTCTGTCTGACAGAGAGGGCATCTCCCACAACATGCAGGTTTGGAGAACATGTAAAGAAAAAAGTCTAAAATGTTTTATGACAAAGAAACATTTAATATACAAAGAAATACCATCTGCCACTACAACGGTAGAATGACCTGTAGACAAGAAGTGCATGAACGATTTGTGGTCTTCATATTTGTGTGGCATCTTACTTGCAGTTTGCTCTGGATGAGGCCACACATCCGTGGGGTATCAAGGTGGAGCGTGTGGAGATTAAGGATGTCAAACTCCCTCAGCAGCTCCAGAGAGCAATGGCGGCAGAAGCGGAAGCCTCTAGAGAGGCTCGTGCCAAGGTGGGCCCCCCAGACCCCATAGCACTAGCTCTGGAAGGCTAATGGAGGAAACATAGCACTGGCAGATTACCACTCCGGGTCTTTCATAACAATACCAGATGTTTAAGTTATTATTTTTAGCTTTGGAACAACTTGAAATCCAATTTCTATCCAAGGTATCTTACTCTTAATGAACTTTCATAAAAGAAATAAACACATTTCAAAATTTTACCCCTTACCCCAAAATGCCATCAATCAACCAAACTGTGCTTAAGATTTGCACTGGCACTACAAGGCAAATGTAGCTTACAATGGAAGTTTAATGCAAAATTATTCTGCTTCAACTTGGCTTGAATGTGGAAAGTCGCAGTTTAGAATTCTATCATTTCTGACCCCTGTGTGTTTGAGTTACAAATTGGGGTAAAAATGTGGATACCTCCATGAACGTCAGTATTGTAAGCAAAAAGCTAGCAAGCTGATGTAAGTGATAGGAGTGATAACTTCAACATTCGGGATGTATTCACCTTCTCATAACAGTGAACATTAAGGTCAGTTTTGCAGACGTAACTAACCTATCTGTCTTTATGTTGACTGATCTAAAGCAAATAATATTGGTTGGAAGTCGGAGTTGAGGACAGCATCCCGACTTTCCAAGTAGGAACAGTTGGGGGGGATTTTGACCATGTCTATAAAAAAAAGTATGTCAGTGTCAGGAGGGGAATGAATTTGGGGGAAACTGTGTACATTGAGGTCTTGTTTTAGTCAAGTATGAAATATTTTGGTGCAGCCTGTTAGACTGGCTATGGGGGAGGGTTATTAAAGGAATGGTTCACTGATAATACAAACTTCTTAGTTGTGCACTGGAGCTACGAGGCTGATGTAGTTAGCAAGAAATGGAATTGTGTTACATGAAATCTCTTTAATGACATAGGGAAATGGGAAAATTGTGTCAATTCGATTTTTTGGTGAAGGATTGCCTTCAAATTCAAGAGTTGTCATATCCCTCCATTAAAACACAGGATAGGCCAACCTTAGTCTTAATGTTATGTTGCTGAGAACACAGTAATAGCAGCCATCTTAAACAATGAGCTTTGTCTGTACTTTTGCCCATTTTTGTAGGTGACTGTAAGTAATACAGGCTCAGGAGGGGAGAAATTAGAGGGAAATGGTGAACATTTTACACTTTTTTGCCTAAATATTCCTTTCAAAAAAACAAGCTCCCTGCAATAGCAGCCTAGATGTCATATTAATCCATCAATTGCTTCCATTCAAGCAATTTATGACTGAATTTAAAGGAGGAGAGACCACTGAACCTTAAAGGGGAATTCCACTGATTTTTAAAAATTTAGATGTAAACAAAGTCATTCAATGTGGCTTGATGTGAGATGGTTCATTGTAGATGAACATACCAACTCTTTCTTTACAGTGGTGGTGATTGGAACCAGGGGTCACATGTCTACAATGTAAATATAGCCATTTTATTTAGTATCCAAAATCACCAGTGAGTTTTTCCATGTAATGTTGATGAAGGTAAAACAGTGGTAAATCTGAAAAAAATTTATTTGGGTTTTATTTTGCCTTGCAATGTCCTGCTTGTACCTCTATGGCATGAATAGATTTAAAACTTCTTAAAACTATCATAAAACAAAGTCTCAGGCATCAGGAAGCATATTCATAACCAGTTCATGTAATAACTTTCTGTTTGGGGACTAAACAGTCTGGTTCATATCAGCACCTGTGTGAACCATTCTGACTCGATAAGTTTCTCTAGAATGGAGCATTTCACATCAAACCACTCTGAATGACTTTGTTTACATGTTAACCATCTACATGTCTATTTATATTGATAACATGTAATATGATGATGATGGAGAACTCCACATTAAAATGCACAGTAGTGAGGGTTGAGCCACAGGGAGGATGTGGGCCATGACTCAGCATTTAGCTGGAATCAGTGGATGAACCAGCGTTGCTATGTTTCTGTGTACTATTCTCTCTATGACGACGCATGAATAATGTAGTATGTTTTGTAAAGGCTGTCTTTACAGCACCAGCAGTGAGAAAGCTCCTTTTACACAGTATGTGTCCAATCTTCTCACTTGTCTTTGCGTTAGTAGACAGAGGCAGACTAAAAATGATTAGCCTTAATATAATCAAAGAAGCCAAGACATGTTTGGTGTCCACAGTTTTCTTCTTTAGATTTGCATTGGTGCTAAATGTGTTTTCTGACATGTACAGCATACTGTTACCCATAGAAATGGAAAAAGTATGTCCCATCGCTAAAAAAAAGCAGTAGTTGTCATCTTGAACCTGAATTGGTCAACTTTTAAAGGTAACATTATGTCACACAGTGTCAGAAATGACATTAGAAATTCTGTTTGAGATTACTTAACAAAGTTTAAGAGTTGAAAAACTAGACATCAAATGTTTTTGCTGTCTGACTACATTTAGGACTACATTCAAATTTGATTTCCAGCCAAACCATCACTTCAACACAGTCAACTGTGTTTTGGACACATAGTAGAAGAACATGCTTTAGCCCCTCTGTGTTCTGTGTCCTGTCTGTAGGTGATAGCAGCAGAGGGAGAGATGAATGCCTCGCGGGCTTTAAAGGAGGCCTCTCTGGTGATTGCTGAGTCACCTTCAGCCCTGCAGCTCCGCTACCTCCAAACACTCAACACCATCGCAGCCGAGAAGAACTCCACCATCATCTTCCCTCTGCCCATTGACCTCCTACAGCACTTCATGTCCAGGAAATAATCTGAGATTCAGTCTGAAAAAACAAGCCTGTTCGTTTGGCTGTAAGGGTTTTATTTTGGTTTTGCACTAGAGTTACGAGGCTAATGTAGCTGAATAGTAATGCAGGTATATGTTACACAGAAGCTTTTGGCTGATGTAGACTTATATTATATTAGCATCGTAGCTCCAATGCAATGATGGAAAAGAAAACTTTGGGCACCAAATATGTCTGTCTTGTATAAATTATTTTTTAGTTAATCATCCTTTAAAACACTCAGAAGGCAAAGAAAGATCATTTATTTTTACTATTTGAACTGTCAGCTGACATCTGAAGGGTTTCATTCCAAAATGCATAATAGACCACTTTCAAGAAATGTCTTTTTTTACATGATATACATTATTCTTGGAAGTGGACTTCCAACAATACACCTACAAGAAATATCAATGCTGCATCATGATTAATGCCACCTTTACTAGAGAAACAAAAAATGTGTTTTCAATTATACATCAGCTGTTTTTCTTTACAAAAACTCATTATATCCTAAATTGTTACAAATGATATACAGCATTTTGGAATGAAATGTATTCTTTTTTTAAAGAATTGTTATTTATTTATAAGCTGTTACATGAGTGCACTGTGTTAAAGACTGTACTGTGATTCTCTTTAATCAGATATTATATTTTTCTATGCTGTGATAGTTTTGTGTCCTGAAACACTATGGAACGATTTAGGCAGCTATAATCAATAAGAAACTACCGTATAATCACAAATCCACATGGTCATAAACAGGAACACCAAAGATGAAAGTATGGTCATTCTCATATCGTTGGTGTCTAAAGAAAATCTTCATAATGTCAACACCAAAAAGCAAATACATTCTTCCCATTTAATGGAATTTAATGTAAAGAGATTTTCTTAAGTCATTTGGAGCACTTCTGTCAGTCCAGTAATTATGAAATTTTCACACAATGTCAAGGACAGCACCTTCTGCCCAATGACCACTGGGATAGGCTCCGGCATCCTCCACAGTCCAGAAGGATAAGAGGCTTAGATAATGTGTGTGTGTGTGTGTGTGTGTGTGTGTGTGTGTGTGTGTGTGTGTGTGTGTGTAAAGACAGCCATTGTGCTCAAATGATGTAGAAAAAAAAATCAGAAAAAATGATGGTAACTATTTTTTGGAAAGTGATAATGTAATTGCATAGAAGGAAGTTGTCCAAAATGAACGTTCAGCACAGCCCAACGTCATGTAGATAAAAGAAGTCAAACTACGAAGAAGCAGTAATAGGATGAGTCATGTCATAGACTGGACTACTGCTGCATAAAAGCACAACACATTGGACTGGTCTGTTGCAAAATGAATAAAGAGACTGATTGCTTGTAAACACAGATGTTTCTGTAGTAGATTCTAGGAATGAAACACAAACTGTCCACTTCATTCCTAGAAGTGTAAAGTTACTGTACAGAATCATACAATGAACTGTCTATACTCAGTGTAAAGTGTTACTGTAAATGTGAAGAACAGCCCTAAAATAATGACTGTGTATTTTACTGTGAATATCTAGACAATATTCTCTATTTCAGACATGGCCTAAATATAATGGAGAAGGCTGCCGATATGTAAAGCTTTCTTGATGACAGAGAACCATCGCCTCTTGAATTACTGTTTCACTGATCCTTTAAAAGGAGTTTCTTGTGAAGGCCTTAAATAAAATAAGGCAGAGTTTGGTTAAGGAGTTTTAAAGGTATTTGTGTTACTGCATACACTGTAACAAATTGATTGTCACACACACACACACGCACACACACACACACACACACACACACACACACACACACACACACACAAACACATTTTCTAAGCTGTTTATCCTTCTGGGCTGCAGGGGGGGCTGGAAAAATGGATTTAAAAATACTTAAAGTGGTAACAAGTTATTTAACTGGTTTTATTCAACTTAAACTGGCTGAAAAAAAATTAGGTTGTGAACAGACTTGGAAGAACATATGGTCTCCATAATATCACCATATCAAAAGTGTGTTGTCAATCCATTTAGTCACTACAAGAAGAATGTTATTACAAAATTCTGGAGTTTATGGTCTGTTTGGAACCTATTTGTCATTTGTGGGTGTTGTAATGGTTTTGCTTTGCCTAAAGTTCTAATGCTGCCACCTTCAGGCCAAACACAGTATGTCAGCACTTCTATTCTTATATCAAATACAATGATGTAGGGCTACAGTTTAATGCAGTAGGACCTGATACAGTTGCTGCTTTGGGCTGTTTTTTGTTATCCAGGCTTCTGAATGCAACTTCATCATTTGAAAAAAAAAGACATTAATGCACTGAAAGTAAAAACTTTTTTTTCTTCTCCTCAAACTACTATGGAGATTCAAGGTTTTGTTCTGACAGACAAGGATCTAAGATCGAATATATACGTAAAATATAAGCACTGGTGGTCCTGGTGGTCTGTCAGATTATGTAGTTAAAATTAGGTATGCATATATGATATGCTGTCTCAGGCTACTGCAAAGCATCTCCCTTACTGCTGCCAAATATTTAAAGCTCCACAGAAAATAACATTCACAGGCTATTATTAATCACTGATTATTATTAACCTCTATATGAGCACTGATCATTTCAAACTTTGTAGAAATCAACTAAAATACAGTGTTAAAGTACTGGTCTTTTCTTTATTTACTTGTAAATCCATACATACAAGTGTATGTATATAGTTGTGATTCATTTAATTCTACATAGTTGCTGCAGCATGCTGTTTTCATGTCATATAGACTTCAGTGGTACACAAAACCTGCTTCTTCTTTCATTGTCTTGGTATGTTTAAAAAGTGTTGGATCCGTGCTGATCTTGATTTTAACATTTAATTCCAAAGTGCAACATATACAGACAGATGTGTCTCAATGCATTACAACTGCAAACTGTAATCTAATCTAGACTAACAAGTTTTAATACAACAAAAGTGTAAAAATCACAGCTTTTAAACATGCTTTCTTAACATATGCTTCAAATGTAACTTACAGATAAAGCTTAAAATGGACTGAACCATATAAATTAGGATACACTGACTCAAAAGGAGTAGTACACTGTTGATTGATGTTAACCTCAACTCTTAAAACTCCATTCACAAACTGACTTCAAAGAAATAAAATGCATAATTATGTCCATGGGACACACACACACACACACACACACACACACACAACAAAAGTGAAATAAAGAAAACAAAACAAAAATAGTGTAGGTTTTTCCCAAAAACATTAGACATTTGTCATCATTATATGACAGAACAAGTATCATTTTGCAAACACTCTCTCAAATAATTAAGAGAATCTTAATCTTACAGTGCTTTTGGAAAACTGGACCCAGAGTAACTCTCAAATTCTAAGTATAACATCATTTGAAGACAATTAATGAGATTTTATATTGAAAAGCACAAAATCAAGGTCTTTCTGACGCAGTTACTAAATGTAGGCCTACCTACTGCCAGAGCACTGTTCTCAGGTGGTTTGTATTTTTGATAGAATCATTTTACAGGTTTGAAACAGAGTAACTTTCATTATGCTCAGTGTATAATGTATAGGCTTCAAAGACATTGTTGGTAATAGTTCTACATCTAATAAATGCACAATTGCAAGGTTTACTATCTAACATGTTTTGCAGAACATTCTTCAGACTCTGAAAAAATGTCAAATGACAAAATGAATGTAATTCAAGAGCAATGCTATTAAAGATCTTCCTGACTGCTTCCGATCTGTCGAAAGTACGTTCTTAACCTGAGATTGATCTCTGTTTGAGACAGGAGGTAATGGTACATAAATTAATACGACATGCAAAGGAACAAAAAATAAAAATACTGACATCATAACACTGAAAATGGAGGCATCAAATGTTGTTTCTGCTGAGGAGGTTTGCAAGATTGCCCAAAATGAGTGAACACAGACGAGAGATATTGCCTGTATGAGCAAACGGTACGGTATCTAACTGTCAGAATCGTGATTTCTCTGCAATCACAATTATAGCTGCAAAAAATCAGTACTCTTACTGTAAACAAATACTTGCAAAAAGGAAAATCAAGTATACAATCAATCACCATAACAAATTGACTCACATAAAACATTCTCAAAGTGAATTTTACCATCTCATTCTCTGCTTTGCTCATATATTAGTCATAGAGTCATTCTTATTTGAGGATATCTTGGGAACTGATTTCAGATCAATCACTTATTATTTCAACAATCATTTCACTGGAGTTGTGAAGTTATGAAAAAGGTAAGCTAATATACTTTATTGATTATTAACACATTGTAACCCATTCTGTCTTTATTGCAGTGGTTTCCGGTCTGTCTTAAGGACCTCATGAGTTGCACTTTTTTGACTTAAATCCAATATAGCACATCTACATAGCTCATCAGCCAGTTATGGAGCCCTTTGTGAGCTGTTAGGTGTGTTAGAAGAGGGAAAAGAAGAAAAGAGTGCAGTAACTGGGAACAGGAAACCTCTGCCTTATTGAATGTTAATTTTCCTTAGCAGAAAAAAACTGACCTGCAATGGTATCATGGCTTTAAGGTTCTAAACCTGAAAGTCCTAGTACAGTCAGAAAAAGCTGTTTCTGCACAGGTTAAACACAATTTCATTTCAGGAAGTAAGGTAATCCAATGCTAATCTACACCAAAACGTACTATGCTAACAAAACCTCCTGAATTTTTGCTAAATTAAAATTAAATGTTATTTCAAATTTTACATTTTATGCCATTGACAGCATCTAATTTCTGACATACAATAATGCATCACTGACACTGTGAGCATGCTAGATATCTAGGGAAAACTTATAGTAGCCTAGGTGCTAACAGTTTGGTGCTAGCTGTAGTAGATTTTAGCCTGACGGAAATATGAAGGCCCTATGGTGCAACGTTACAGTAAAATGTTTCCAAGCATTTTTCCTGCATGTTTATGGCAAAACCTCTCCAATAGAGCCACAGAGCATTAAATAGAATATCTGTACAATATCTGGGTTGGTAAAACTGGAAGACTTATGGTAGCATGAGGATAGGTTAGCATACAAATATCCCATAACAAGAAACCGCTGCCTCGGCGGCAGATTTCATGGATGAATGCGTTCATTGAGTTTTGTAAACATTGCAGACCAGATGAAGGCATGACGTTTTACACCAATAAGTTAACTGGAGATGTAAATGGCAAACAGCAGTCTTGAGGACATCATGGTACTAAAAATATATCAACATAAAGTTAAATCGGGTTCAATACCATTTTCATTGTGATCATCCATGGTCAACCCAATTTCTATACCTTTTTGCACACTGTCTGACTGAAAACACAGAAAATGTTCTAGAAATCCACTACCGAGTCACCATGCATGGCAATATGAAGAACTACTTTGGTCGTATTTTTCAAGGTTGACCATGTTTTCATTTTTCAAAGTCGAAACCACAGATATGACAATACAGTATATCCTCAATGCAAATGAGTTCTTGGATAATGTCCTGAAAATATAGAAACCGGGCCTATTTGAAAGGGCCCATTACCTCATTTGAAAAGGAAAAGAGATATGTCCATATTAAACTTGTCCCATGATCTGTGTTGGGTTTAATATTGTAATGTCTGGGCATAGAGAGCAGGTTGCTGGTGGATGTGTATCCTTTGAAGAAGCTGAATGGAGATTAATCCTTTATTACAGGTGATCTGTATCTTGTTTGTCCTGTCTATTCCACTCATTATCCTGGCAAAGTTGCAAATGCTAGTAGAAGCAAAGGTCAAGAAACAGGCACCATGAGATCTGCAGGACATACCAGTAACAGACAAGAGAGTTTGTACTATATTATACACTACATACGTAGGGCAGAATTGCCTGTACAAAAGTAATGCCGACATGGATGAGAATGAGAATGCTATTTAAATTAAACAAATCAATAGAGTCGTCTGTACATTCTTACAGGAAATACATATTTTTCTGTTAAATGCAAAGATTTGTGTTTGTTAGTCTGGAATTTAAATTTATAAGACACAGATTTACAAATGGCTTATGTGTTTCTGTAAATTGTAACTTGTGTGTTAGACATACTCCTCCTGAACGGAAATCCTGGAATATCAGCACCAATGTACAGTACATACATACACCCAGCTCAGCACAAACTGATACAGTCTATGTAGATACAGAAAACAGTGTCTGTTTGCCCCTACACCAGGAAAGAGGGGTATAGATAGAGGTAAATAGGGTGAGAGAGAGAGAGAGACAGAGAGAGAGAGAGAGAGAGAAAGAGAGAGTGAGAAAGAGAAAGAGTGAGAGGCTTATCTGGGTAAGGGTGGGTGCGAGGGTGAGCCTGGGCCTGGAGAGGGCCGGTGGAGGGGTGACTGGTTGGGGGACATTCTTGGGCTCAACTCGCCCGTTTGCAGACGCCACAGCAGCTCCTCATTGGTGCGACTCAGTCGCTTCTTCTCATTACTCTCCTTCTCCACGTACTCCTGCAGGTTAGCGTTCTCCTCAGACAGTTGCCTAGCAAAACAAGAGAGGAGATGGAACAGACAGCCTGAATTTAAAAGCTTAAAGGTCTACTTCAGGGGTTAAAAGTGAGTACACGGAGGGCTGAAGTTCAGCACGGTTTTGGGATTTTGCAGCTTTCATTTATATGACTAACGTTTCATTTCACTTCATCACCATTAATAAACAATTTTAGATAGATAGATTGACAGATAGATATCTTCACTCAAGGCAAGGAAAAACATTTGCAACTTTTAATAGAGATTAATGTAACAAGATATTTTTCTATTTGCCCCTTTATCACAAAACCTTAACACAATGCCGAAAGTAACTGACATTTTTAAATTATGCAGAAAAAAAAACAAACAAACAAAAAAAAAAACAAAAACAACAAAAATAAAGACTGGTATATATATATATAGAGAGAGAGAGAGAGGGAGAGAGAGTAAGAGAGACCTGGACATGGCTAGATTGAGGTCTATCCTCGCCTTTAGGTCCTCATTCTGCTGCTGTAGAACCTGAACACGCTCCTCCAGCTGCACATTCTTCTGAGCCTGTTTAAAGACACAGCACACACACAGAATTTCATTTCATCAGGCCTACAGGTGAACTAAAGCCTAACTAAAGATTCAATGCCGCTTCTTAAAGTACTGCAAACTGACTACACAAGCACATTTCATTTTGACATTCTCTTCCAGCTCTTTATTAGCACCAACCAGTTTCTCTAGCTCAGATATCTTGAGTTCCTGTTGGTGAATCTGTTGGTTCTTCATCTCCAGAACCTGCTTCAGACTCTTCAGATCCTCCTCTATGTGCTGATATGGAGCCAAAGCATCCTGAGTATATACAGACCCACAAAATAGGTGAGGAGCAGCACTATTATTACACAGGTAGACATTGTTGCAGAGGTACACAGACAGGACTTAAACACATTCATGTACACTGTAACATGGCTGTAAAGTATGGAAGACAGAAAACAATGTACCTCTGTGTGCTTAAACCTAAAGTTAGCATGTTCAGTAATACAGAGATATGAATGCAAGTCAGGCTAAGTGCAGTACCACAATCTGTTCATCAGTGCTCCTGCGTAGTGCTTCCTCAAAGCGCTTTGCTCTGTCCCTCAGACTGCGGTTTTGAAATGTCAGTGTGTCCACCTGATCCTGAACACATCATGAAAACACAGAAACATCACACTGGCCATCATCAAAGAAAGCCCATATATCTGTGTTTTAGCCACTAAAATGATGTTGTACCTGCAGCGACAATCTGAGCTTCTCAAATTCTTCCTCCAGGGATTTCTTCTGCTGTTCATGAGCCATCTTCAGATCTGACAAAACAACCACTATTATTTTAATAATAATAACAACAACAACAACACCTTTTACTTATATAGTGGTGTCAGAAAACCTGTTAACTCTTGAGCATTCTGCACATTTCTGTAAAAGTTTAACCTAAAATGTGATCAGATCATCATCTAAGTCATAACAAAACAAATAACGCAAACAGTTACATAGATTGTTCATGGAATTAGAGGATAATTAAAGTAAAGAAGTTCAATCAATCATGTGAGTGTGGGTAACCCTGTCCTATTTATAAAACATTGAACTTGACTTTCAAAGTCTGGCCTTCACCACATTTGTAAGCTCATGACATGTTGTGGTAAAAGGAGATTTTTTAGGATCTCAGAAAAACAGTTGTTGATGCTCTTCAGGCTGAAGAGGTTATAAAACCATTGCTGAAGAGTATGAACTAATCCACTGTCAGGAAAATAGTGGACAAATAGATGAAATTTAACACCATTGTGTTAAACCACCAGGACTGGTAGTCAAACAAAATCACTCCAAGAGCAAGACGTATGATATTTCAGGCTATACTTTTCTCTCTTGCACTAGCTAATGTCTGTGTTCATGAGTGTTCATGAGGTACACACTGAACAAATACATTGCATAAGGGAAGACAGCAGGGAGGAAGCTACTAGTCTCCAAAATCAACATTGATGCCCACTAAAGTTTCCTAAAATACTCCTGGATAAGGCAGAGGACTGCTGAAAGAATGTTCAAAGTCAGTTATTCTAAATGTTATATGACTAATAAGGCCAAAATAGAGCTTGGCCTAAATGAGAAACTTTTTGATTGGTAAAAACCAAACACAGATCCAACATAAGAATCTCATCATGCTGTTTTGCTGCCTTTGGATCAATACAGTTTGATGTATACTTTTGAACACGGTAAAATACATTAAAATACAAAAATACAAAAACAACAAACACAATATAAAGAGAGCAATAAAAAACTTGAAGAGAAAAAAAACAAAAACTGAAAGACAAACTAAAATATTTTGAAAATAAAAGCTACTGGAAAAGTAGTGAGCTTTTATTTATTAACAGCAATGACAGAATCAGCATGTGTCATTTAAAAAGGACTCACTTTTGATTGTCCTGGCATGCTCCTCCTGAAGAGTGGCCAGAGTGGCATTGTGGGCTGTCTCCATCTCCACCATGGCCGCTTCATGGCTCTCACTCATCTCTTCCACCTGATAATATACATAAGCATTTCACTGTACAGAGGGTTTGAGACGGCAGCTGCACCAATAGCTTCATGCTGGACACATTTAGTCTAGCTTTGGAAAACATGCAGTTCAGAAGAAAACTGTGGGTTATCCTATTTGATTTAACTTAAACTGTGTGTGTGCATTTCTCTGCTCATTTTCTGTCCTTCTCAGGGGCAGCATAATGGCCTATGTCCGTGAAAATGCTCTTCAAGTGTTGCTGAAACACCTGAACTCAATAATAGGGTGTTTTTGGCCATATAGTTTATATAATTCATATGGAACATTCATGACCTCATGTCCTGACATGCTATAAAAACAAATGAGCAGGTGTGTGTGTCTCACACCTGTTGATGGTGCTGGGAGCGGAGCTGCTGTAGCTGGCTGCTCTGCTGTTTCTGCAGAAGCTCTGTCTCCTTCCTCTGCTCCTCTCTCAGTCTCTCCTGCAGAGCCTGCTGCTCCTTCTGCTGCTCCTCCTTCAGCTTCCTCAGCTCCTGCTCAAAACTGCGCTCCAGTTCAGCCTTCTCCCCCTGCAGACGCTCCCACCGGCCCACACTGACCACTACACACACAAAGAGGGGTAGACAGATAGATACAAAGTTATGATGGGTAAAAATAGGGGAGTAAAATGTGTGGATAGAACTGCAAGGATTTTTGAAAGTTATAATTAATTATACTGGATTATCAAAATATTAGATAAAGTGTGCACTTTTACATAAAAAACACATTTCTCAAGCTATTTTCAACTGTACAGTCAATTTTAGACTGTAATACATTATATTTTAAGCAATATAACACAAGCGGGAGTGTTTTATTGTGTTATGTAAACAACATTACAGCTGTGATCAGCGAGTGCTACAGCTGATGTTATTCTCAATAACACACGATCTCTAATGTTCTACTGCTTTTACAGAAAAACGAAGAAAAAAGTTAAAGCAAAGAAGCTCCAAACATCGCATTAAATATTGTGCTTCAATACTGGCAACTCCTTCTGCCATATATGTGCATATTATATTTTAGATGTTTTCGAATGTGTCCTTTTCTGGTTTGTATGCACTAAAGTACACATTTGGTAACAATTAGCTGCAGTGTAAAGTGATTCGTTATCTAGCAACTGGTGTTCAGCAGAATGACATAGACAATGTGAAAAAAAATCACAAATAACAAATATCACGAATAATTTGTGTATTCATTTAAAAAATAGATTTAAATTGTACCAAAATAATAGAATCAAATCACATCATGGTACAACCAGATATTTTACAATCATTTTCTAAAGAATATTTTTATATCCCAAGTGAATAAATAATGTTGCTGTCCTGAATAAAACATGTATCTCCTTTTTTCCAATTTTTATTTTTCAACATCATTTGAGAACAGCACCTGTGCATTTACGCTGAGTGAAAGACCAAGTAATGCTCCAAAATTACTTGTAAAAAAAACTTTACATTAATTTACATTAAAAGTAAAAATAACACTTTTGCACTTTCCTGTAAAGTTACTATTTTGGAGATACATGTTTTTTGGACAGCAATGTTATATATAGTTAGATAAAATAAGAACTAAACAGTAGAGAGAAGCAAAGCGTGGTCTGTTGGATGTCATCAAGTTTGAATCTTTTATAAAAGGTGGTTAACTTGTTGACATCATGCTACCATTTCCAGAGTACCACCTCATAATGGAGGCAAGGGTGGGTACAGGGTGAGTCAGAGCAGCCACAGTGCCTCTTACCCACTTCATCCCTGATCCGAGAAAGCTCCAGGGACAGCTCCCTCTCCTTCACCTCGGCATTCTCGCTCTGCAAAACAACACACACAAAACAGCAGCACAAAATCATTTCCAATATCACATCACAATGAGGAGGCCTGATGGAGATATCATCCACTATCAGTTTGGATAACTGTGCCAATATATTCAGGTTTGATTGAATGTACTGAGTGGGATTTCAACAGAACCACAGGGGATCACTTTAGTGTGCTCCTAACTATGCTCTGAATAGCCCAGCCCTGCTTACAGCAAAGCCCAGTAACACAGTGTGATCTAACACTATTGATTTTATCATTTCTGTTTTCATAAATCACATCTGCCTGCACAATAGCCATGTAACCAACCGATGATACAGTGAGGAAAATTCATAGCAGTCACAGTTACTGTACTGAGAACAATGACATTATATGATTATATGACAATATATGATTATACAGACGTATGATTAAATAAATGACAGATAAAAATTTACTTTCTCGACCGTTTTTTGATGAAAGAATAGTCAGCAATTTACATGATGATCATGCATATTTTAAATTCTCCTCCTGATCTTTTACAGTACACAGAGCCTGTTGGACACACCCATTATATGCATTTTTTGCTATATATTGTTGTTAAATTTATTAATTATTTTCCAGTAAAATATTTTGAAATGTCTGAAAGGCCAGGCATTGTTTGTTAAAAAAAACTTGAATCACTTGATTATTCACTTATATAATAAGTGGAGTTTTCTATTCAGTGTTTCTCACACATGTGCTGAACTTGGGTGGTTGTCAGTATACTTGGGAGGCCGTCTAAATATACTATATGTCTGGGAAATACTGAATAGAATATTTTGCCCCATTTTAACAATTTTCAAAACATTTTATTTTGCTATGTATAAAGAATGACACACTTTGTGTAACATAAAAAGCAAAATCAGCTGTATTTCAACCTCTCTGTGGTTCATTGCTGCTTGCTCAGTAAAAACATCCATTACAAATTTGCAAGATAATACACAAATTATTTCTTTTTTATTCCAAACCATACATGCCTTTTTGAATACTCAAATAAGTAAAGTACAGGAATACTACCCCCCCTAAAAAAAGCACCCCTGAAATCTATTTCAGACCTGTGGAAAACACTGCTATTACTAATATAATCAGTAATGACAGCTCTATTAATACTACTACCCCTACTACTACTACTACTACTACTCATAATAATAATAATAATAATAATAATAATAATAATATTAAGTTTTAATTATATTGCACCTTACATTCATGTAATACAGCCAGAAGTGCCTCAAAGGGATCACAGACAAAAATGATATCGTTCAAGAAATCACAAAAATGTGATTTTCTAAAAGAAAATAAACACATCCTCTAGAGACAAAACTTTTTTGTGGCATTTTGCTGCAAAATGAACTGCTTTTTATTTTATAATAATATGTTTTTTTTATTATTTAATAATAACTATTGTAATCATTTGCTGAGTTTACCATAATGTAATAATATAATGTGCCATTATTTTGTGTATCCCTCTGATATGTGAAAGTCAGAAAATAAACATTAATTGTGCATTAAAATGTGAATAAGCGTTCTCTGTGGAGGATGTGTACTTATTTATAAGGTAAATGTGTCATGACTCAGCATTTTTATGATCCACTGTCTTCTTCTCTGAAAAAATCTCAAATGCACTCACCACTTTTGATAGAATCATAACAACCAAAGCGCTTTAGTCACCTACACATATCACATGCTATTACAAATTACTGGGGGCCGCATGCAGAGTGCATAGTGAGAAAGCTAAAGCAAACTTTCTTTACTGTAATCATTGATTCTATTTATTCTACCAAGACTCTTTGTGAGTGTTGCCTCTCACACATGTCCTCTGTAATCAAACTGCAGGGTTGTGACCTGTTACCCTGACCTGTCTGCTAACATTTGAGTGTGAGGTCCCTCATCAGATTCTCCCTAAACACGCTGAGGCTTGTGGGTCTCAGGAGATCCTTTTCATGAATATAAACCTCTGCTCTGCTTCTTCCTCACCAAGGCAACCTAATTTAGTTTCATTTCCTGCTATCTGTATTTGCCATGAAAGGGGCAGCTCAAGGACACTGTCCCCACCTACCACTGAATAAGCCCATAAATCTAACATATGCACAACTGTCAGTGCATTAAATAAAATCATGTAAGGTACAATATATGACACAGTAGCCTCCCTGATATGTAATTTTTTAATTCAAAGAATTAAAATATGATGTTTAGGTTTACAGAAAGTACATTTAGAAATGATGGACTGTAATGTGCATTAAAATGCATATCGTTGTATTATTTGTTATTTTTATACATCATTTAAGAACAGCAGCGTGAAAATGTCATGATAAATGGATAAACAGAAATGCTCTAAAATTACCTGTAATAAAATCTCTTTACATTATCTTACATCAAAAGTTTAGAACATTTTTGCCTTCTCCTGTAAAGTTATAATGTTGGAGATGCATGTTTTTGTTTTTTTTTGGACAGTGACGATAAGTATTATTTATAATGACTGTAGTGATTTAAAACAAAAAATCTACAGTGCAAAGGGGGAAAAGCATAATGATTAAATTATAAAGTAAAAAGTAAAACTAGCGAAGAATGACAGTAATGTGCATTAATGCCTATGCATTCATTGCAAAGACTGAAATAATGGTTTGAATTAAGTATCGTCACAAAATATCAACGATCAGATGTTTTAGGGTTAACATGCTGTGTTGTCTAGCAGGAGACACATGTCCTGAAGATAGTCACAGCTACTAGCACATACACACCCCTAAACTCTGAGACAATGCTACACATCACACTTGACTACAAAGTGTCAACATGGAACATTTCAACTACAACCAACAGCCTTGCTGACTTCAGTTCAGCTGACAACCTAAAAAGCATCAGAACAATCTCACAGCAGCCATCAGAATCGGTTAACACATGCACACATCCTCCCTGAGAGTGCAGCTGAGGCTGCGTCTGCTTTACCCGTATCCACTGAGCATCCAGAGAGCAGAAAGGGTGGAGAGACTGAGAGAGACAGTGCGTGCAGCAGCGCTGGCCCATGTTAGTGCTGGACACAGTATGCCTGGGGAATACCATACTATAAACCCCCCTCTGAACAGAGAGAAAGCGAAAGAGAGAGTGAGAAAGTGGGGGAGGGGGAGGAAAACGTCCTCCTTTAAAGTGCCTTACCTCATCCCTGGCGTGTGGAGCATCACAGCACTATAGCTGCAGCATCCGCTTCTGCTAACACCCCCAATATGCTTCCTTCCTCCCCCCCTTTTCTCTTTCTCCTTTCCCTCTCCCTCGCTCTCTCTCTCTCCCTCCCTCACTCTTTCCCTGCCTCTCATCCACAGACATGCAGGAGGTCTCATTCGCGACAGCTGAAGACTGAAGAGCGGAAGTGGAGGAAAAAAGGGGGAGGTATGGAGAAATGATGCGATCGATAAAGGGCTGGGTTAGAGGAACGCTCCGCCTGATTCAACAGGGTCCACAGGGAACAGAGACACATGCAAACTGCCCAATTATGCACAGGGGAAAAACGTCAAAGCAGTCCTCATAATAGCAGCAAAGAGACTCATATAATCCAGCCCAGTCCAGAACGCAGACCTGCCCACTCTGCTCCAGATAAAACATGACTCAAGAAAACTGCCTGAAATACAGGATACTGGAAAAACTGACATTAAGCAGCTGCTGTTAATGACTGTATTGTTTTGGAACCAAGAACTGTTTCTAGGCGAGGTCAATTAGATCTTTTAATGATATGAAGAGTTCATTTCATGAATCATTTACTTGGTAATTTAATTTGTTTTAGAGCACAAAAACCCAGTTGACTGGAAGTATCAGTACACACCAGCTCCTTTATCTCCTCTGACGCGTACATAGCAAACACAAACCAGCAAAAATACAATACAAATATTTAACAGTACAAGTATTTAACAGCATAAGAATGAAGAGTTACTGTATTAGCTGTAGTATATGACCATAGGTGTAGGTGCACCCTTGCAAATGACCCATGATTATCCAGTGCAGGAACAAAGAAGGAGTGCTGTAATCACACTGATTAACTCCTACACAAACAAACCACACACTCCCTCTATACGTGAAAGTAGAACCAGAACTCAGTTAAAGTTATCTTTCACAAATGCCCAATTAAAGGAACTGTTTGGCAAAATTCAGGCTTCAAGATGGCTTCTACTGCTGTGTATGTAATGTACTACTGAACATCTTTATAGACTATATGTCACACTGTCCCTGAAAGCCTATTTGATATGACACAACTGAAGTACATCTTTGGTGATTTAGGCCTACAGTTTGCACAGTGCTCACTGGTCAGGTAAAAGCTTCCACTACTTGTTAGCTCCATTAGCCTTACAGTCCAGTGAAAATTAAGGGCCCTGACACAGCAAGCCACCAGCAAGGCATGTGTCTCGTGAGTGAGCACATGAGTAAAGAAGGGAAAGAGAGCAAAGCAAGCAGATGGCCTTCTCAAGAGGGCACACACCTGATTATCCAAACACTATAAAAAAATATTAGTTCGTCACTAGTAGGGGTGGGCAATATGGTGATATTTTACTGGTATTGTGATATCACAATATGCTTTCCTGAGGATATCGTGGATATTGTCAGTACTTAAAGAACACTGACCAGTCTCATGTTTCATTACAAAGTGAGCATAATTAGGTCTGCGAGTTTATCACTGTTATTATTATTATTATTATTATTATTATTATTGTTGTTGTTGTTGTTGTTGTTGTTGTTATTACTATTATTAGATTTTTTATGTGGCACTACAAGTTCTATTCTGTCTATTCTAAATTAAGTAACAGAAAAACAATATATTGTGATGCATGTCATGTATCGTGAAAATGTCTTGAATTATCGCAATATAATATTTTTGCCATAATGTCCACCCCTAGTTACTGGGCTGCCTTAAAATTTTAGGTTAAATGACCTTCTACATGTAAGTTCACAGAACAAGAATCTGTGTTTTATTCTCTGTCAACAAATCATTTGAAGTTTGGTGAATTTAAAATTTTAAAACAGCCTGGTAACTGATTTTTTTAATTAAAGAACTGATTTTTTAAAATGTACTTATTCATTTATTTATTTTTGTGAATTTTTGTGCCAGTGGAAGTTTTATCACTAGAGATGGGCATTTTACCTGTTGTCACTAGTCAAATGTCTGAGGTTTTAAATAAGCAGTTTTTCAATATAGTGTTCTCAACGAGAAAACATATAATATCATTATGAATAAACAGACACAAGAGCTGTGAAGGTTCACTGACAACATGAGTCTTACTATTGACTTTTTACAGTTTTTCCCAGACACATTTAATGAAACTGGGGTCAACTTAATCTTCACTGTCACTTTCTTAGCAAAGCAGAAGTGTCCTTTTGTAAGTGTGCTAGCATGTTCTCATTGCTTTCCCTCATTTATCATACACTTTCTCAAAACCCTTAAAGCAGATTTCACACAAAAACACAACAGTTCATTTTTGAACTCCGCAATCTGTTGCAATTGGCTGCTGAGTAAGTATTAACAAAAGAGGCTGTAGACAAGAATTTATCAAATGAGGAGCTGGTAACAGGTGAGAATGTCATTATATAAAACTGATTTATGCAATAACAGACTTACCTACTGAGACTAACCTGGTTTATAGCTGTTTTGTCTAATTTTTTCACTGGACATTTCAGTTCAGTGTGGTATGAATGTCAAGGCCTTTTGATTGAGCTACTCTGACACAGTCTGTCCGTCTACTGGGAAATACTCAGGCCTCTGGTTTGGCATTATTTGGTCCTATGTTGCCCTCCACCTCTCTTGCCTTTTCTTTCAAGAGTATAGAAAAATAAGCAGAAAAATGTTTGTTTCTAAATATTTTGGGTGAAATCGCCCTATGTTTGGTTAGGTGGGTATACAGGGTATTATTGTACTGAAATGTAATGAAAGGAAATCATCAACAAAACTATCCATAAGCAATGAGTGGATTCCAAATGGTGATATTCTTGCACTTTGGCACATTGTAGAATATTTACAGTGAAGTATGAGCAGGTAGAAGAGATAGAAAAAAAGATAGAAAAGCTAGCGTTTGTGTCATGTGTTTGATGTTTTGTGAAGATCAGACTTTTTTGCAAAGAAATGTTATTTTGGCCAGGAAGTTGCTGTTTAGTATCATGTGTGAACTGTTTTGAGAATATGGCTTCTGAATGGGCAAAGGTGTTTAAGCAACTGAGGAGAACTGTAACTTGTCATATAATTATGAACATGTAGCAAACATGCATTTTATTTCAACTGTTTCATGTATAAACATTCACTTTTACTCACCCAGCACCAAAGATTACTTTTACTTTCACACTCTAGGTTTAGTTTAGCTTAAAGACAGACATTTGAAGCTTGTAAGCCATTCAAACAATATATGCTTTACTTTGTATGTTGCAGTTTTGCAGTTTTACAGACTGCTACAGAATTGCTCACTTTTGCGCAGGGGCAGTTAGTTGCGCAGGGGCAGCTGTAGTCTCTGCGGTGTTTTTTGTAGTCTTTGCGAGTGCAAATTTTCACAGGAGATGAGAGGTGATGGAGAGCTGATGGAAGGCGAACATTAGTTAGCGTTATTTAGCACTAATTCTTCCTTGGTCGGTATGTTAGGGCCCTGAAGAAGCAGCAAGCTTTGGACACCCAACACGTCTTGGTTGATTGACTACATTTGGGGTAAATTTGCACTATGCTACAATTTCAAAGGCATTTCCAGCAGCATGCAGCAAAAAGACCCAGTGGTGGTAAAGTAAAGGCTTGAGGGTGTTTTACCTTGTGGCAGAAGTGTTGTGTGGTGATGGCAAGGACGTCTATACAAAGCGAGGCTTTGTGGAGTTTGTCCTGCAGGGAGGTGATCTGCCGGGCCTGTTCCTCACAGCGTTCTCTCAAACCCTGCACCAGCAGCCGCTCCCGCTCAGCATCCACGCCATCCACTCGGCCGCCCAGACGCCCCACACATGACTTCTGACGCACTGACATATAAACAGAGAGATACAATGGACATGAGCGGAAACAAAGACCTACCTCTGTTAATGAGATGTTTTTGCAGAATAAAGTGTCACTTATAGTTTTTAGCACTGTACAAGACTATCACACTTTATTATACATTATCATGCTTAATAGAACAGATTGTTATATGCAGTGTGTGATTTAATGGTTGTGAAGCGTTTAAGCTTGTGTGGTGGATGTTAATGTGTTAGATGTTTCTAAAAAGTAATTTTAGTAACACTTTACTGGAATCCTGCTGCACGATATTGCCATAAACATGTCATGGTGGATGAGCAGTCATATGACAAACATGTCATATGCTGTCATGAGTTGAATGACAGATTTTATCAGCAATAGAACAGTTTCATATTACAATTTTTGGTAATTATCAGGACAGATGCCATTAGGTTTGAAGTCATGGCAGCTTATGTTACATGCTCATTTTTGCTAAGTGTACTCTAGTCAGTTGTTATGACAGCAAACATAATGACATATTACTAAACAAAATCTGTCATGAAAACTCATAATGCATGGTTATGTTAATGTCACGTAGTTCAAGCAAACTGCTACCATCATTTCTTTATGCTATCACTGTTGTCTGTAGTATTGCTAGCATGCAGATACAATATGAGCAGACAAACAGACACAGCTTTGACATGAACCCTGACACCCATATACTCATAAGCACTGATGAGTCAGTATCACCAGTACTGTCGGTGGCAGACTGACAGTGATCCAGGAAAGTAAATGACTTACACATGCATCAGTGAGCAGGAATATAGCCTACGCAGTATAGGAACAGTACATCAAGCAAGCCCACATCCACATATAGTAAAACTGTATAGGCTCTGTAATACTCTAGCTCTAAAGCTCACAGAATACACTGTGTCTTAATGCATGTAAAATGAAATAACAATCAATACTAAGATCATCAGCAGAGGCATAGCCAGACCTCCACCCCCATTAACTAAAATGGCAGATTTTTTATTAACTACAGAAATTTGGCCGGCCTGCTTTCCCCCTGACCCTAATCCAGCTACAGATTTTATGCTGACCTGTTCTAACAATAAACATTGTACATGTATTCTGGTCTGTAGAAGTGCTTTTTCAGACAGTGCTAGCATTTGTTGCAGCTGAAATTATTTCAGGATGAAATGATATGAGGAGTCGGTGAGCTATCCAACCATGATGGCTATAAAATAGCAATTAGCAAGAAAATTAGAGCTGAACTAGATCGACATTCTGTCCTTATCTCTGAGAAAAAATAGAGCTGAATGTTTTGTTGTTGTTCTATATGACCTGTGCTGCTTGCGTTTACAGTGTTTTGGTCACATTCCTGTTCCAAATTAGTGATGTTCATAAGTAACATTACTTCACTAGAGAAAGTAAATCCAGTGATTTGTGAACTGCATACATACTTTGACAGTATTAATAACAGGTTATTTCATGAATAATTCATTTAAATGGGCTATTTCATTATATGTTACTGTACTTATAGGTACAGTGTGATTGGTCATTTGAATGGGTTTATTAACATTTTTTTAATTTTGCTTTTTTGGGCTAGATCAAATAACACCAACTCCCTTTGGCTGCACACCAATCAGTGAATACTTCATTATTCATTTTATATGACTTTCTACAGAGCACTAAGTCTTAATCTGTACAGGTTTATTCTGTTATTTGTGCATGAACAGCACTAGAGGGTGGACAGACTAATAGACTAGCCACTAATGGCTATGCTAATGTTGCTATGGCAACCCCAGGCAGCCATGCCCTGGGTAATGAGATAGAAGAATGAGTGTGGGAGTGGCAATATACACACATACACACACACACACATACAAGATGGAACACAGCACTCACCAGGGGACTGAGGCTTGGGTGAGACCACTGCAAATCTCTTTGGGGAGGACAGAGGATGAGTAACTTCTCCATCTCTCTGAAACTCCTTTCTAGCAGCTGAATTAAAACAAAGAAAGACATACAGAACACATCAAGACTATAAAGTACAACAGTACAGTGCAAAAGTCCCCCAAGAGACCACCCTTCATCTATTGAACTGCCATTAAGAACAAGTTATTCATTCAGAGGACACTTCTGAAAAGATTAAATATAAGATAATACATTTGTATAAGGACAGGAAATTCAAGAAAAAAAGAAGTGAAAAAAACATGAGTTTCCAAATGCAAAACCTGGTAGACCACCAAAACTGTCACTGTCAGATAAACAGTACATTAATCTTGATAGAACTGAAAAAATGTACAGATTACTCTACGCATTTGTTCCGAAAGAATGTGAAGCTGTTAAGACGTTACTAAGACAAAAAAGAAGAAAATGTGCAAATCAAACAAAGAAGCTGCTGGTGTTCTCACAACAATGGACTGACCACCCTAGAGTCCAGACCTCAACATCATTGAATATGTTTGAGATTATTTGGATCGTAACAAGCAAAAAAATGCAAATAACTTCAGTAACACTTTATTTTGGTGGTCCACTATGGATGCTCAGTCTGTCTTTAATTATCATTTGACTAAATATCTCTTAAATGCAACTGAACATTAAATTGAATGTGAAAGATTCTGTTAAACCGTGACTCTAAACCTAAACTTAACTTCAACACAAAATCTACACCTACTGCCAAATCTAACCCGTACCATGATGTTGTTAATAATCAACAGAAAGTTTGCTAATGATTTAAGTATCTGTAGATCATCAACAGGGGACCATCAAAATAAAGTGTGACCAAATTTAATGATACATGTATTTTATGCATAGAATAAATACAATGCATGCATCTGTTAAAATAAATCAAACAAAATGATGAAACAATAGTAAAAACAAAAAAATGCACTGATGAAGAATGCACTGTGCCAACCATGTACTAGTACAGTAAGCATTTGTTTGCTTTGCTTATGGGTCACATGCTATTGCCGTGGTACTAGTTACAGGGACATCTGCATGGTTTGTCACAATGTCAAAGGAAATATCATTCACTCTCAGGTCAACAGAACTCAGACAAAAGCTTGCTCTCACTACTTTTCATTAACCTTCCTTTTTTAGGCCTCAGAGCAAATTCACTACTGTATTCTCAAATATAGAGAGTGACCACTAGCTGGAGCTCTTGCCCCACATTCGCTCAGTCTTTCCTGCTGTGAGGACTGCAGCAAACCTGCACAGAAAACTGTAGGAGGCCACACTCATAAGCTGTCATCCACTTTTCCAGCACCAGAGGGCTCTAAAATCTTTTCACACCCCTTTGGTGATGTGTTAAAGGAACCATGCAGACATCCTCAACACATTTCACCTCCCTACGTCACTTTAATGGAAAGTGCTGACTGGCTGTGTCTTCATTCATCCCTGCTGAACAGTTTGTCCCCAACTGGCCAAATGGTGTGTATGTGCTGGTCTATGCACCCTTCAGGTTATCATCTATTTATTTAAAATGTAAGATATTAGTGAATATTAGGTTGACCTTCCAATACACAAATAATTTAAGAAATCTTAGATATGGCAGAGATATGCATCGTTTTGTTTACAACCGAACAAATAATAAGGAAACATTATATGGTAACAATTTACTGTAGGGTTCAAAAGGCCAACAGGACAACTGCTATAAACCTACATAAACATTTATAAAGGCTTATTCCAAAAGTTGCAGTCTGTCAAAGGCTGCTATGATGTCAAGTTAACATCGCTGTCAGGTGACATCAGGGTTTTTTTCTGACATTTGGTTTTGCCATGACACTTTTTGGGTGAAATGACAGCATGTTCTAGCAACTGACTTTATAGCTTATTGTATGTCACAGTGACATAACACTGAGGATGTTACATAGCAATTAAATCTTATAAGCGGTAAAATGAAACTCACTCCTAAGAGCCACAGAACGCATTCACGTTTGGCAAACTAGCCTATTTTGTCAAGATTTGTAACATCTTCAGCATTATGTCACTGTGACATTCACTGAGTTTAAAATCTCTTATTTCACCACAAAAAGTGTCACGTCATAAAAATATCAATGTCATCTGACATTATGTCAACTTGACAAGGCCTGAAAGTCTTATATAGGTGTCACTGGCCATATGACCACTTCTCTACAGTAAAGCATTATCTATTATATTACATATCAGCGGTCATCAACTGGTGAACCATGGTCTGGATGCGGACCCGGCAAAAATTTCTCTGCTTGTGAATTGCAGGTGAGAAATAGTTCAACAAAATCTAAAATATTAGGTATTTCAAGGTGTATATAGACCATGGGAGATCAAGTAAGATTTATCTATTAAACTCAAAGGGCTTGGACATGTGCCTATCCTTCATTTCCTCATGCTAATAATTACATTACTAACATATTACTTTAGTACTTACTGAAATAATCTGTAGGAGTTACTGAGTAATTCCATTTTAAGACAAGTGAAAAAACAAGCCAAGGGTTTAAGGGGTTAATTCAGAACACAGTCATTCTAAGCCCATTGATTCAGTCCAGCGGTTCAGGATCTCCATAAACAGAAAATTAGACAAAGAAGGGGGGACACTCACACACAGGGGAGCCGTGGGGAGGGGGCAGCAGAGAGCGGCGGGTAGGAGTGTGGCCACTGGGGGGCTGAGGACTGCTGCAGCTGGGTGGTCTACTGCTTCCACTATGACTGGGAGAGTAAGAACGAGGCAGGAGGGTCTCCTCACTTCCACTGCCTGGACCTGCACAGGAGAAACACAGAGATCATAATGTTGCTCTGTATCGCAGCCTTAAAGTAATGTTTGGTGACCTCAAAAGCATTTGATCATCCAAGATTAATTTACTTTTGCAGTTTTGTACTGAAGCTATGAGGAGCTAAACCGTCACACACTTGCCTCAAACCATGCTGAGTTGTAAAACAATCTTATGAGGTTTCTAATACCGTATGACATAATATAATGTATAAAAATGGACAAAAGCTTCAAAGTAAAAAACTCACTAAATAGTTTGTCCATTTTATGTTGATTTATATTGCATTTTAAATGTTCTGTTTATGGATATCAGTATGGCATACACAGCTTTGTAGCTTCAGGAAGTAAAGTAAGTAAGTCAACTTTGGACACCAAACATGCATTGGCTCATGGAGTACATGTGGCATAAGGGAAAACTGTGCAAATTTGATTTTTCTGAGCTATTACTTCAATAGAGAGTTCTGAATTGACTGTATTTCACACTGCAGTGGTCTAGCAGCTTTCTTTGATCCATTCAGGATGTTCATCAGATCATTCATCAGACTTATGCCAGCATAAGAATCTTTGACACATTCTCCCTTGCAATTCATACAAATCAGTATTTGTGAGTTGAAGGAGGCTTGTGGCTACCAGAGGCAGAGGAGAGCCATGTTAACACTGTCTTCAAATTAATTTGACCATCTGAAGAGCTGAAGTCAGTAGGATCCAAACAGCAACAGCAGCTTAGCTTCTCTGGTAGAATCACAGGACAATGAATAATAAATCTTCTGATAATCCAGGTTAAACTAATGCTGAGGAAGAGTAATGTAAATGTGGAGCTTTGGGTCCAGTGTGATTGTGTTGGCAGAGAGTTGGTAATTAATTGTAAAATATGTAACACTTCACTTAAACCCTGCTACATAACATGGACATAAACATGCCATTAACATGTCATTGCACATATTATATGCTGTCACGAGCTGCCATGACAGATTATGTTCAGTCATATAGCAGTGTCATATTACCATTACTGTTAATCATGACAGATGCCATAATGCATCAGTCATGACAAATAGCAGTGATGGCAAAATGGCTCTGTTATATCACTGAACAAAATCTGTCATGACAGCTTCTACCTGCCATGATGTGTTTATAGCATGGTTATGTCAATGCTATATAGCATTCAAGTGAAGTGTGACTGTGTAATAAGTGTTTTGGCAGAAACATTAGTCTTTGTAAAGGGTGACAAGCAGAAAGGAAATGTATTACTTTGACCACAGATACACTACATGAATTTTAACACAAATCTTGTCCTGTTTGAGTACACTCTTAAAAATAAAGGTGGCAACAAGGTCTCTTTGTAGCGACACCATAAAACCACTTTTGGTTTCCTAGAGAACCTTTCAATGGATGTTTCTTCTACCATTGTTGGAAGTGAGACATCTGAGTTTATAGAACATTTTAAACCTCTGCATAATGTAAATTTAATGTAAATTTCTAGAAACCTTTTCTTATATATATACAGTGGTGGAACAGTGTTCTCTGGAGTGATAAAGTACTGTCCAATACCTTAGGGATGTGTGGAGTGGTTTGTGATCCAGAACTAATCATTCAATATCTGTACACTGTAAACATAAAAAGCACCACAAAGGGTTCTCTGAGCGATGCCACAGAAGAATGACTTTTGATTCCCTAAACTTTAAAAAAGAGACTGAGTGTAATGACCCTTTTAAAGGCTTAAAGAACCATAATACAAAGGTTCTACACCAATTTCAGGGTTCGTCCTAGAACTTTTTCTCTACGCAAATGTTCTTTAAAAAATGTTTTTCACACTCACAAATCTAATTTATACAAATGGTTATTTAGGGGAGCAAGAGTTCTTCTTCTGTGACCCTATAGCAATGTTCCAACAACATCTAGTATAAAGCCTTTCTAGAAGAGTAGAGGATGTTACTACGGCTCAAAGAGGGATTAACTCCCTTTTAACACCCTGGATCTCAGAAGAACGTTTGGACGAACAGGTGTCTACAAACTTTTGGATGAATGAGCCAAGCATTTTCTGGTAGATATATTAATAATAACTTACACTTACATGGGGTCAAGTCTTCCTTTGGAGGCTCCCTTTGAAAAACAAAAGTAAAAAGTGGTACAAAGTATCCCAGTAATGTGAACATTTCAACATCAAACTTGACTTTTTTCCATCAAAGAGGTGCCTCTTGACTTCAGATCTTTTCTAACAAAGAACATCATTCACTCTGGAGTTTTTCTTCAAGGCAGCGTAAGTAGTTTCTTTGAGGCTCACGACTTAAGACTTAAGGCATTAGCACCGCAAGCCTGAAAATGACAACCACACCAACAGTGAGGAATGATGTGGAAATCTGCTGTACTGGATGGCCGTAAAAATAGCCGACAGCAAAATCCTTGCAGATGAAAAAGTGAAAGAGAGATGGTCCAAGCACCAGACACTTCATAACAGATTAACTGCACTATATCTTGCCCTGAACAAGTCTCTGCCAGAAAGTAAAAGTGGTCATAAAGGCGTGGACAAGAGATCAACTCGGGTGTGGACGACAGCTGTTCTTTATTTCTTACTTAAGGCTTCCATTTGTGGCTGCTGGACGCAGCGTCTGACAAAAATGCTACCGGCACACACTTAAATAACAAGCGGGCGAGTTGTAGATATGTTGGGGGGCTGTAAAAGTCGGCAGCGCTGGGAGGCGCCGCTACTGACCCTTCAGCTGTTAAAGAGACAAATGTGTCCTCACTATAGAATCAGACAAGCTTGAACTTCTCCTGCCACATGACAGAGGTAACAAACTGTAGACTTGGAGGCTGACAACATTGCTCAGCTTAGTTTCCCTGATCTAAATAAGATTCAGCTCACGACTAAAGACTGAAGACATAGATTAGACATTCAAACCTGGCAGTTTTAAGACTCATACACTGTACTCAATGTCTCTATTACAGTTGTCATAATTAATCAATTAAACTCAATTATTTAATTAAAAAATAGACTTGAAAAAGAATGGACACACTCATTTAAATACACCTTTTGTCATGTTTTTGGTTTTTTTATTACTCACTTAACTGGCACAAGACTCAGCAGAATACTCGATTACTAATATAATCAACAGTGGATATTGAGCACTTCTCCATTTCTTTAGTGCCTTAGAAGAACTTAATCATTTTCATGCCAACTAGCCTTTACACTGTGTGAATATTTCATGACCAATTGGCCAATAGAAATGATACAAAATTACTAAAATCTCATTATGTTAACAGATAAGTTTTCCTTCTCCTATATATGTTACTGTTTCAGAAATAGAAGGTTTTCTTATGACACTGACAACATGCATATCCATAATTACATCTCACACTGTTGGCTCTCAGTCAGGTTGGTGAGCTGACTAACAGAGATGTAGTCTTTCCTCACTGGACGGTAAATGTGCTTAGTAATAAAACATATGAGCAAGGCAATCTCTAGTGTGTTAAGCTCTACAAAACAGTGACTCACAGATAACTGCTAACTGCTTACTGTCAAAACAAAGGAATCACTAATGCAGTACTGAGAGTCACCAGCACTCAACCCCCTCTACTCCATTTCCAAATGTCTCACTGCAGTAAGGCTTTAAAGTCATTTAATGAGATTCAATGAAGACAGAACATTTTAGACTCAGTGTGTATGAGAGGGAGAGAGGGGGAGAGACAGAGAGAGAGAGTGAGTGGGAGAGAGATAGGGAAAGACAGAGAGAGTGGACAAGAGGGAAGGAAAGAAACAGAGTAAGAAAGAGAGCAAAAATGGAAAGACAGAGCAAGAGTGGGTGAGAGAGAAGGAGAGAAAGAGAGTTATAGAGAGAGAGAGAGAGAGAGAGAGAGAGTGAGAAAGAGAAAGAGGGAAAGAGAGAGAGAGAGAAAGTAGAAAAAGAAAAAGAGAGAATGAGAGAAAGAGAAATAGGGAAAGACAGAAAGAGTGGGTGAGAGAGAAGGAGAGAAAAAAATAGAGTTAGAGAGAGAAAAAGAGAGAGAGAGGGAGAGAGAGAAATAGGGATAGACAGAAAGAGTGGGTGAGAGAGAAGGAGAGAAAGAGAAAGAGAGAGAGAGAGAGAGTGAGAGAGAGAGAAATAGGGATAGACAAAAAGAGTGGGTGAGAGAGAAGGAGAGAAAGAAATAGAGTTAGAGAGAGAGAGTTAATCTCAGCAGTTTTCTGACACTGCAGATATTGACTCAGCGCTGGTCTGCAGTAGGAAGGGGAGGGGGAGGAGAGGGAGGGGAGAGGATTTATGCAGTGAATGCAGTCAGAAAAAGAGGAGAGGAGACACACCAACTGACCAAGTGACCAGACAGCTACACAGAAACCTAAAGGTAAAGCTCTATTACAGAGGGGTGAGAATCTCTAGGTACCTCACGATTCAATTCTATTTTGATTCAAGGTGCCGAGATCCGATTATAAAACAACCCTTAATGAATTTAGATTTCTAGGTGGTTAAAAAGTCTTTATGTGTTAAAAAGTCTACTTCACAAATACAATCAACTGCTAAATATGTACATGTAAGGACAAAGATCTTTGAACATTGCCTCACTAAATAGAATGAAGAGAGACAAACAAAGTTTATCCAAAGTCTCCATTAAAAAAAAAAACAAAAAAAACAAAACAGTTACCTTATGGAAGAATAATTTAGAGTCTGAAGCAATAAATCTTGCAATTTTGCAATTTTACTTTATCAAAATATATTTCACACTATACACAGTAATGTTTGAACACTCTGGTCAAATTACATGTTTTGTTGATGTTCTAAGTGAACAGTTAACAAGTGTTGTTGTGTTAAGTGTAGTTAACACACTTAAATATGACATTTTTCGGTCACAATAAATAGCATAAAATCGCATCATGGCTCAAGCACTATAATAATATCACATTGTGAGGCCTGTAGCATTTCCGACTGCTACTGTTTTTGTCCATTTTTATCATTCTTTAAATAAAGATGATAGTTCAATTAAAAAAAAAAGAAACACAACTGAACCCATTTCTGTTGTTCTCTGAAGTAAGTTTATAAGAAGAGAAAGATAAGCACACACATAAATATGCACCGTCACATTAAAGTACAAGGGCTTATTTTCCCATTATAACATTTCCCTCTACTGAATGGAAGTCATGCCACATTAACACCAGTTAAACGATCCAGTAAGAGCTTTAGAGAGGTTTCCAGTTCCATACCAACCACACGCCGCAAAAGGTAGCTGCCTATGGAGAACAAGTAGAGCATTTAAAAATTCTCATTAAGTATCATTTCCATCTTTTTCAATCACTGAATATGATAATAATACAATAGGTTTCTATGTATTTTATGATAGTAAGGGAAAGTGGATTGTTTACTGTAGTTACTGAGAGCTACAAGTTATGCTTCTAATATGCAAAACGGTTTCATGTGGAGTGGGTGGGCAGATCTGAGGAGGTGTAGTCTACTCCACAGTCATACTGTATGAGTCAGTCACACTAAAACAAGCCTGCACGCTTGCAAATTCATGTATGAGATCATCCATTTGTGTTACTACACTATTAGAAAAATAAAGTTTTCTAAATTGCTCCTGGTTTGGACATATTGTTTTTTGGAAAAAAAAACACTTTAATTGGTTTTTGTATTATTTGAAGGTTCCTTAAGCTATAAACTTACACTCACACATCTTAATGAACGTCTCCTAAGAAGTATCCACTGAACGGTTCTTTAAAGATTCAAAAGTGGTTCTTCTCTGACATTTCTCTAAAGAATCCTTTTCCGCATGTCAATGGATCTAATAATAAAACACTTGTCTCATGAACTGTTATGTAGAATACCTCATGCACCATGCTGCTTTTTATTTTTTTACCAGTCTTTTCACTTCTCTTTTGAGAATAGAACCTCTTCTGGAGTACAACATTTATAAACATTACAAGTAGACTGGTTCAGTGCCTGCGCTAAAGTCTGTGTGTAGAAATAGCCTGTAGTTCTTTCAGCTTGTGTGAATGAACGCTCTCTGTTCTCCAGTATGACTGTGCTAGCTGTTGGAGTAATTAAAACAGACAGAATAAGCTGCTTTGAAGTTCTTCAGCTTTTGCGTGTGGCACAAAAAAAAACAAAACTTTTGTTCTGTGAAGGAAAAAAGGAAACACCTAGAGAAATACAACACACTTAAAGATTAATGATAAGCATGCTTCACTAGCAACAGTGAAATCAAGAGGGGAGAAGAGAGGAGGTGGAATGAAATCCCACTCAATATCAGACACAGATCTGTCTCACAAGTCCTTACAGGATTCTTGTCTTCTTGAGGAAGACAAACTCACTACAGACAGAAACCTTCATGTAATTCTGTCACAGTCAGACCTCTATCCGCTCATCTACAGCTTCAATCACCGGATTCAGCCTGCTCTGCCCTGGCTCCAGTCTGGCTCTGTCTCAACACTTTCACTGGATAGCTACCAGTAAATGATGAGCATTGAGTTCACCTGTGCTACATTAGTTCTGTGTAGGCCTGGAATTTCTCATTATTCACTGGAAGTAATTCATTTGATACCATAAAAGTCTTTCATGTCTGTTTGGTCTTGTTCAAGGATTTTTTAGTTTCTGTGCTTGGCTTTCACTCATAGAAGGCAAGTTCTTCCTAGGTATATTACTGATGTAAAGCTATCTGCCTCCTTAATAGGGCCCGACCAACATGAAAATGGGGTTGATACCAATTTTAAATTAAAAAAATGTAGGATTTAATTTTATATGGCAATTGTTTTAGTGAAACAGTGTTTTACTGACAGGTAGGACTGTCAGTTCTCAATTGTCACACTTCTTAAACTCCAATAAACAACAGAAACTAAATAATATATTGTAAGCACTGGGTGTAGAGCTGCCCTTTACTCGTTGTGTTTTATTAATTCTCTTTGTGCTAAAGTTATTATTTTAGTTAAAATTCTTCCAGAAATAAGGGCAAATAGCAAACAGTGCAAACCTTGCTAATGTTGCCCCCTTTATCTGAGTAGCAGACACACGTATGTTTCAGTCACATTTCAAATAAAAATGAAAGTGCAGCAGTCCCTCAATCACCTCCCGTCATTTAGTCATTTGCATCTAAGGTAATCCACTTCACTTTTGAGGTAGCAGACATAAAGGATGGGCCGTCGTTTGTGGTTTTGCTTAGCCAGAGAAGATTCATGAAGCAAGAGTCGCCATGTCAAAATACTTCCAGGAACACTTTCATAAGGTTTTGGCAAAAGGAAGGTGGGACTCATCCCTCCTTCAAGCAGACAACAGAGACCTTTAGGCCCAATTCACACCAGCAGGAAATTCACACCCGAGGGAAATTCTGCCCATTTCCCCAAATTTTAGCAGTTAGATTTCCTCTTTTAGGATTACAGTTAACTTGTGGCCATTTTTGTGGTTGCTAGGGTCTTTAGACTATTTTGAGCCTAAAAATGCATTTTCCATTGAGCTGATTTTAAGAAAAAAGTTTGTTTTGGCTTTGTTCAGCCAGCTGCCCAGTCTTTTCTTAGACTTGTGCGTGAAATAAGCCGTGGAACAGCTGGTACTGAAGCATGAATAATTGTAATATTTCCCAAATTTCAGCAGCGTATGTCAGTTGGAGGCACGAGTGTATGAGACAAATGACTTGAGAAATTCGACAATGCTGAAGGGAACTTTTTTAACTTCCCATTCCACCTTAAATGCTGCAGCAGTTACATTCAGGTGCCTGCACAGACATCAGAATGTAACTACTGACTGCTTTTCCATTTAAGGCGGAATGGAAAATTTGAACAAAAAACAACCGAATAAGAAGCTATCTGAAACCTTGTAGAAATTCAGACGTGAAACAACATTTAGCACAGTTTTGCTGGGCCTACGGGCCAAGTTGTCCATATATAGCACTTCCAATCCAGTCTCCAACAGCTTTATTAACAAATTCATTTACTCACTCCAGTTTCTCTCGAACTCTCTGTCTGTTCCTATCCATCTCTCCTTCTCTCCTTCCTCTCCAATGGGACTACACAGGAGACTGAAACTCACTCCATTACTAATAGCTACATAAAAAGTAGCAGTTGTGTAACATGCTGGCTCTGCTGCCCTGGCAACACTGCATGTGCCATTTGGACCTGATGAAAAAATACTTCCATAATTTGTGCTGTTATGTGTATTGCAGTTATGGCTCATTATTTGTATAATGAGAATGGTGAACCATAGCTCATTTCTGTGTTTAATGGAGTTCTGTTGGACTTCTTTACCAAGCTGTATTTCCACTGCAATAATATTCTGCAGTCATGCATAAGCAAGTTAACAATCTTGCTTTTTTTAGAGTGGCTATTTAAAGAGAACTAAAAGAGCAAAAGCTGCAAATAATAAGAAACAGGTACTGGAACTGATTTTGTCCAATATTGTTTCTGTTTTATTCCAAACTCTTTACTAATATTGATGATGTATGGACAGAACAAATTCCTTCAGCAGACAGAAATTCAGTCACAGTCGAGAGGAATAATACAACAGTAGATGGTGTTTGGTGTGAAAAACACACTTGTGAAAAATCATTAAAACAAACTCAGCCACCTCAACAATGGATTGTACCAAATACTGCATTGCAATCAGTTGGAGTGAACTACTTCTTAAGCATTTGTAATGGCAGCAATGGCACTTACGATTGGTGGGTCGGCAGGGGTCACTGTGAGTGCTCTCATTAGATTGATTGCTGGACACGGAGGACACACTGGCACTGCGGACAAAGCCAAAGGCAGCGAGGCGGGCAGCAGGCAGGTGGGAGAAGCCAGGAGGGCGCAGGCCAGACTGACCCGGTTTAGGAAGCAGAGACTTGGGAGCTACTTCTAATAGAGGCTTCTTCACATCCCCTGCTGAAATAATAAGAGATGATTTCATTTGTATTTCCATAAATGCACATATAAGATAAAGATCATTCAAATAATAACACTAAACTATTATTTTAAAAATTTGAGAGTGTAAACCTGACTTTCTTATGCAAACCTGACTTCATTTGCTGATAGTCATTACACCTGCATGGAACCCCCTTCCCCTCCCCCAACTGTCAAATTCACACCTACAGTGTTCACTGGACACAATGAACACTTATGGTTTGATTCAGGACTGGGGAATGTTCTCTTGGGAAATGTCTTAACTACATTCATTCAAAGCTCTGTAGGCTCTACAAAATGTTAATCTGTGAACTGGGGAGTTTCTATGTTTCTGTATGGAATGTCCACATAAACTCTTCATCTTGTTACATAATTAAGGAGCTGTGGTTAGAAAATGTAGAAATATTAGAAAGATACAGGAGATATGTTTATGCCTGTGATGACCTCAGTTCATTCATGTGCAATATCCACAAGAGATAAGAGATACTTCATGGATAGATGCATATTATGGTGTATTTACTGAGCAAAATTGGCAAAACCTTTAACGGGTAACCAATTCAATATGATTTTTATCTTTGTGTCTCTTTGAGGCCCTTGAATGTGTCATGGAGAACTTCAGTGTGGCAGTGCCTCAGCATTATCCCTTAAAACCTTCCATTCAAGCAAACTCAGGCAAGTTTATTTTGTTTTTTGAGGGAACAACAGCTGTTATCATAACTGTATCACAATACGTCCACACTTTACGTATGACTGAAAAAAACATGGGCCCAATGAAGTGGACACTGTGCATTGAGGCATGACTAGTAAAGTAATTTACCTGTTTTGTGTAAAGTTATGTCACAGTTGATTACTTTCTATTTTAAATACTCAGAATCCCAATAAGAGGCTCACAATAAAAGCGTCCAGTTATTTTTTGCTGTCTGTGCAAGGCCTCTACCAATCAATAGGAAAGTTATGGGAAGCCAAAAGACTAATCCACACCTGCAATCTCAATTTACTGATTAGACTTCAGGTTTGCTAAATCCTGACACCAACTAGCTTTTGCTGAAGTCATTAGCTTAGACGTTCACATATTTATTCCTACCTATATGTGAAGGTTGAATGATGTATTCAGTATCAACATGAACAATATATTATTTGTGTGTTATTAGTGTAAACAGATTGTGTTTTTATTCTAACTTAAATGAAGACCAAACCATATTTTAAGACATCTTTATACATACATGTAGGTAATTCCAAAGAGTTCACAAACTTTTTCTTGCCACTGCACTATATATATATATAAATGGAAGCTTGTTCAATGCGCAAAGGCTATTGCTATTGTAATGCTGGCATTTAAGTTTGGGAATTGTGGACTGCAGCAAATATCACAGGATAGCACATTATATGCAAAAGGTTCTAAAATGAAACACATTCATCCACTATGTACACGTAATACGCAAATGCTCAGTAGTAAAGCCTTTAGATGGGACTCTAATATTAGCATAGACTGATTCAGATGGAATATTCAATATAGTGCATTCAGTGTTAACTTTCTCTCAACCACTTATTCTTCAGGGCATGAAGACACTGAAATACAACTTTATTAGATCTGTGAGAGATCTCAGACAGAAGTGCTTTTCCCCTGCCTGGACTCACTTTATGAACTCAGAATTCATATCTAGGGTAACATACTGGTGACATCAATTATTACTGAAATTGTAAACATGCCAATCATTCTAATACATCATGTAACAGAAACGATTAATGGCCTTAAGGAATAAAGATGATATTAAGCTAAATAGGATTTCATAATTTAGAAGGCATTTAATCCCTGAGTGCAAACAGATTCTACATACTCAATTAGTCTGAGTGAAAGTAGAGGGAGCCTTTGAAAATGAATGGAAAGCTTTGAAATGCAGCAGATTACAAAAGTAGCAAAGCTCAGTAAACAGATTCAGAAAAAAAGTAGTGGCTCAGAACTCTTGAATTTGACTGCTATACACTTCAAAGGGCGAGGGTGTCAGAAGCTTCATGCATATGCCACCCTTGAAATTATTATAGTCCATAGCCTCACAGCTGGAGTGGAGTCTTTTTGCACTAGGTTGGATAATTAAAGAGGGAGCAGGTTGGCAAGGAGCATGTTAGAGTTTTTCTGGCTGCACTGCAGTGTAGCTAGTTAGTGACTGTCTTCCTACAATCTGTTTATGTAGCTTAGTGGGTATAATTACAGGTGAAATCCAGGGTAAATACATTTGTTTACTGCAACAATTCATTAATTAAAATTCTTGATAATTAATCATATTAGTTCCCTGAATGCAGTGCTAAATACTGCAGTGAATTGCTGGCCAGTAACTGCTCTATAATGAGTAATGACCCCCCCCAATTTCAGATAACTCTACACCTTGTTCAACTTTGAAAAAACTCAAAAAAATTATCTGTGCATACAGTTATCCAAACTCTTGTGCTTATGCAGGTTAAAGGCTAGCAGAAATGAGCATTATTAAAGCTGAAGTCATTTCTGGTATAAACTGGTGACAAAACGTGAAAAAAGATAATATTGGCTCATTTTTTTCAGATCATTCATGTGATTTGCTTTAGCAGCTAACCTCAACTCACATTAGGTAGTAGACCAACAACAGCTTCGTTAACTCATGACTCTATTCTCGCAGTTTACTTCTCATATTTCAAACTAATATTTGACTTTCATATTTTGAGGGCGTGCTGCAGAAAATGAACTGACCAAAATGATCATGTTATTTTGACATTTTAGAGAAAAAAACTGTTAAAATTGTAATAACACTGAAGTCATTAATTATTACAAAGTTCATTCATTTTTAATGAGGGCGTAAAAACTCTTGAGCCCTCTAGCTTCTTATTTGAACTTCCCGTTCCACCTTAAATGCTGCAGCAGTTACATTCAGGTGCCTGCACAGGTGTCAGAATGTATCTACTGACTGCTGTTCCATTTAAGGCGGAACGGAAAATTTGAACAAAAAGCTGCCGAATAAGAGTTACATTTAACCTTGTAGAAATTCTGATGCTGTATATAATCTGTATATTGTTCAGTTTTGTTTTTAATATTTTGCACAATAAAAATATTTCAGATATTTCAGAATCACCTTTATTGTTAAATTTGTTCTTCTTAAAAAAAGTGAAGGGATATCCCAGAATAATAAGACACTGTATACCTACAAAAACAGGACTACTTAAGCATCTAATGTAAAAACTCTTGAGCCGTTAGGTTAAAGGCTAGCAGAAATGGAACTGCTCATTTATTTTCATTAGCAGCTTTAGATTTCTTCAGAGAGCACAACTGTTTTGGGATTTGAGATTTTTTAAGCCTGGCCACTTAATAAAAACTTCTACTAACCTGTCGGATCTGGGTAGCAGTAGGTGAGTTGGCCAGTGGGAGAAGCATGGCTAAGAGGTGAAGCTGACCTCTGGCCAGGCATCATCATCCTAGTCTTGGTTGTAGGTTGCCTCGTTACAGCTCCAAGGCCCAGCTGAGGCCGGAGGGCCCTGGGTGAACGGTAGACACCAGCTACTTCATGTGCACTGTGCTGGACACCCCTGCCCACCTGGAAACAGCAAAGAGGTTCTCTTTGAATCAAGCAGCAAGCCAAGCTAGTAGACTGACAAAGGTACATACTATGAAGATACATTAATTGAGGATTAAATGAGGATGAAGCAGTCATGATACTAATGTCATAAACACTCACCTCGTGCATATATCTGTCTGGGAGTTCTCCATGAAAACTTTCTGACTTTCCCACTAGTTTGTGAGGCACAGTGTGACTGGGAGGTCTGATTCCAGACACCATCAGGCCAGGCGGGGAATAGTATCCTCCTTTCTGCAGCTCCTGACGATATTTATCATATAGAATATTGGAGGAACTGAGCACCGGTGAGCCTTTGGGCCCTCCAACCTTCTGCTCTTTAGTGGCTGGTGAGCTAGTGTATGCTGTGAGCCTCGAGGGCAGAGTAGATGTTTCATATGGACCCTCCGCAGAATGTGGCTTTGCCTGAGGGCTCTTACGGACATAGGTGATGATTTTTGGACGGACCTTTTTAGGCTTTTGAGGAGGGGAAGACTTCTGAGGAGATTCTGTTTTGGCTGGTGGTTGAGGGGGAACGGGTTTTGGGATACCAGTATTGAGAAAGCTTTTACTTGGTGGCTTCAGGCCACTGGTACCCCTTTGTGGAGAACCAGCAGGCTCCTGGCTTGTAGCTCTTGCGCTGACTGTCTTGGCTGGAGAAGACGGTAGTTGTCTTCTTGGGGATCCAGTATTTTTAGGAGATGGAGGAGTAGCAGGACCAGATGGACTGCACCACGGCTTTCGCCTTTCCAGGCTGGATGGGCTAGAACTGCGAGTTGTTTCAAAGGATGCCTGCTTCTGGTACAGTTTGGGTTCAGCTACTGCACACTGACTAGGTGTTCCCTTTGAGCCTGGCTTAGAGGATTTATAGTTCATGTCAAAGGTTTCCTCACTTTGGGATGGTTTACTTTTTAGTTCATGACTGGAATCACGAGGAATCTTGGTCAGGGAAAGAGAATGGTTGTCCTCTGGCCCAAATGGTTGGCAAGATTTTTGCTGCACTGCAATGTTTTTTGCATCTGGATCTTTGCATTCTTCCCTAATTATAGCCTGTTCTTCATCAACAGGATCTTCTTGGTGCCCAGCACTGTCCTCGCTGGCATGCCCTGTGTCATTGTGCTCATTTTTAGCATTTGTAATGCTTGGGTTACATTCATTTATGCCATTTTTCAGCTGACCTGAGGTTTCCTTGTATGTTAAAACATTTTCAGCTGGCTGTTTTTCTTGTGCTTCTAAAAGAGGTTCCTCAGGTAACATGGTATTGTTAAGATTGAGATCAACATGAGTTCCGTCAGCATGTAGAGAACTCCTGCTCCTATCTGAGAGAGTCAAACATGACTGTGAGGCAAAGGTGAGGTCCTCTGAGAGAGTTCTGTAAGTTCCTGTTTGTGCAGCCCAAGACTCTGCTGTTTGGGTCTGACCTGCATTTTCTAGGGCACTTGCAAAACTTCCTCCAAGACTGGACATTGTGGAGTGACAAGATACAAATACATCATTATCAGAGGTGACCTCAGCTCTAGCTAGACATGTCTCAGCTTCTTTGCTGATGAACTTATGGGAAACATTTTCTTGCTCCTTTGTGTCGGCTTGGGAGGCTTCATTCTTACTAGGGTCTTGTGGGTCCTCAGTTGGAGTGACATTGGTGTAAAGCTTCCCTGGGATGCCTTCTGCATCTTTAACATAGTTATCCTCTGATTCCACGAGGTATGCCTCCAGTTCTTGGCATTCCAACATCTCAAACTCTGCCAGTTCTGGGTCATCATACTGAGAGTCTGTGCCCCAGATGATGATTTTGTCCTGTTCCTCACTGTGAGCTACAAAAGACGACTCCTCCAAAGTTCTACTGTCTTTGCTTTGGATCTGATTGGCGTTGGTATCTCCATCCAAGGAATCCTCAGCGCACCTGTTGTTATTTCTGAGCTCCCCATGGCTTCCCTGAAAGCTAGATCCAACAGGTCCAACAAGCTTGTCACTCATGCTCATATTTCATTAAGATTTGGGTCTCTATGCTCTCATGGCTGTCACATCCATGTCAGCACCATTTCACTTGTAGGACTCTTCGCAAACGCTAGCAAAGAAAACATACTTGCATCTTTCATAAGGGGGAAGCAATCGCTGCACTTCCACGGACATCAGGGGCTGTTATTCTCAACCTGCTGACAAGGCAGAAAAAAATCATATTAAGCTAAAGGCATTCAGATGCCAGGTCACTGTATAAATGACCTAAACACAATGCACAAAGCCAAATCTAGAAGAGGCTATTTTGTTGGTATTATATTACTGTATAGTACTACAACACTGATAGGTCAGAAAAGTTCCTGAAGAAAACTTCAATGCTTAAATCAGCAACAAATTAGAAAGTTTTTTTTTATTAATTGCTAAAAACAATGTGCATTTGGATGGGTTGTGAATATAATTATTATATCATTTGACACAGCAAAAGAAGGCAAGATTTCTGTCACACATGCTTTATTATAGGCCTTATATAATTATAATTGGTATCTACTGTTGGATGCACGCTTGTTGTCAATTGTTATAATTATAATTTTCCTTAGACTCCAGAAATTGCTTACTTATTTACAACACCCTAGCATTTTCTCTATAGGCAATTTTCAACTGGCAAACCACACGACTATAACTGCTGTGCAAATTTACAAACTGCACTGCAGGAAGGAAATGCATTGTGGAACTACGTCTTCATCTTCTGAAAACATATCACTCACTGACACTGCTTCACACTGCATGTTGGAGTCTCAAAACTGTTACATTTTAATTAAAGTATTACAGATTTTTTATGATGTCATTTAAAAAATGATGAAAAGTACAGTGCCCACAAACCACAGAACAGAAAGCTTAGACTCCAATTTTCCCCAGCAACAAGGCTGGCTCCAGAGCCCTGCCAGTAAGAGGCCATTCCCTGAGGTAAAGCCACACTAATGTCCTGTGTCGGCACAGACTTTCATGAAAAAAACAAGGCAGGTGTGCAAACCAACTAAAATATCAAAATGTACCATTCACCTCTCAGTTCATACAGTCCATATATAAAAACTAAGCTGCAAATCAGCCTGACTCAAGTCCATTTTTTGTCACTTCTACACATGTTGCATTTTTATCTCCAAAATAGAAGGTTTACATGAGAAAGCACAAATGTTCTTAAAATTATGAAGCATTTCTATTGGTCTGTTTACCATGAAATTCTCATACAATGTAAAGGAGAGCTGCTGTGTTCAATGTAGAAAAAATATGGAAAAAATAGAGATGTTTTTTTCTGACTGTGATGATCCACTTATTCAGCCTAAAGTAGTTTAGACCCACCCATTCACACTTTTAGCTATAAGGAGGTGTTTCAGCTCAGACTGCTTGTTGAATGAGATGCAATACAGGACAGCCAGTCATTTACACCTATCAATCATAAAGGCACAGTAACAAAAACAGCCTAAATCTAAGGGATAATGAGAGGCTGAAAAACAGTCATTCAAAATACAATTAAGATAATCCTTTATTAGTCCCACAGTGGGGAAATTCTCAATTAGGTACATTAAGCCACATAGGTGTTAAAAGTAAGTGTACATGAAAATGTAGAATATGGTCCCTTTCATATTTCGCACATAACAATTCTCTAATGATACTTCATTAAGACCATAAATGCACATAACTAGGAACAGGTAACAAATGAAAAACACAACAAATATAGGTACTGAATATAATTTGGACTATTTGAGTAACTCGACAAAATGAATCAGACAATGAATTTGCTCTCTAGAGCCTCATTATTGTTTCCTTATTGTATCTGTTATGCTTGATTCCACCAATTTTCTTGTTCTGCTTTTTCCTCTCAATTCTGTCCATTCAGCTTCCAAAATCGAACCTACTTGCCCTATCCTACTTTCTTACTGTGGCTGTAATGATGTTTTTATGTTTGGATTTTACTATAAAATTATAACTACATATTTCTACATGCAATAAAATCTGAGCCATGAACTTCCTTAAGTGAGCATTAGTATTAGCATATTATTATTGCAGTATTATTACTATTACCATATAGTTGTTGTGGCTGGTTGCAAACCTGAAATAAGATTCTTTAAATTGCTTCTCACTGAATTGTCTTTTTTCTGCTGTAATAGTGCTAAGCATGTTTGTACACACTGCTATAAACAACATGAATGCACTGACCAGATGGTCAGGATTTTCAGACTGTGCCAAAAAAGCACATACACGTTTTTGTGCCTTTAAGGTATATGACTGTTCTCAAAGACTGTTGAGGGGTGTAAGTGTTAGATACAATAAAAGGCTCATTAAAAACAGTCATTACTATTCTAATTAGTAACTCTATAGTAATAGGATTATTTGAATGACTGACATACAAAAAGAATCATTTTACAGCATGACTGCTTGTTGTCAATTGTAAACACTGGTTGTCAAGGACTAATATCAAGTAGTTAAAGACAGAGCCTAGCTGCCCTGTCAGTCACACATGACAGATATTGTCATTTTCAGGTCAGCAGCAGACATTTAGACTTTGAGCACTTGGCTTAATGGAACCACTGTGCTGCTTGTCACGGCTTATAACTGAGGGAAGATCAGATCAGATATTGATCTATGTTTTGGTCTTAAAAGAAAATGGCTCAATGGAAAGCCCTATTATACGAAGAAATGCTAACAGTGATAGTACTGTAATGGTACTCAATGCTGCAGAAAGAATTTTCATCCTATATATGATTTACCCCCCTCCCAAGCCCCAAATTTCCCCCTCAACATCCACTGCACAGAGACAACTTTGCACCTGACCTACTTTTCCTACAAGGGTCCAGTGGTCCTAGAGTTAAAATGTCCAAAGCCTCTACAGAGCCTCTACCAACCCAGAAAGATTTCTAACATTCCAGCATGAAAGATATCACTGTGGAAGCCTATTCTCATCGAGTAGAGAGGGAAATCTTGATTTTTTTTGTCCTTCTGTTTCTGGCAACGGTATATTAAAAATGGACTTATTACATCAAAATGATGACTTACGTTCTCAAAATATTCATTTACTATCTCCCAATAATTATTTACTTTCTGAAGATATTTGTGATTAAGATGAAATGACACAGTATATTCAAATAACATAATTTATCACTGGTTAAGATTCTAACAAATCATTTTGACATGCCATGTCATTATTTTGACACGGTATATCATTATTTTGAGAAAATAAGTCATTATGTTGACATAGTAAGTCAATATGTTTAGTAAATAAGTCATTATTTTAAGATACAAAGACAAAATTGTGACATACTGCTGCCAGAAACAGAGATAGAGACCATTTCTGGAATAAAAAATATGTATAAAACATAATACTGATTTAAATCAAGTAAATTCAGTGCCTCACATTTTTTCAATGGTTGCGTGCAGAATAGTTCAGAATTCAACATTACACAACATTACGATTCTTTACGCAGGATGTACAGCCGACATTAGAATACATCTGCATAGGCTCCAAATCAAAAACTGAAATCTGCTTCCCTCAGTGGAAAATGTGTAATGGGTAATTGTGCAATAGACTACACATATTCAGAGTATATTGAACATGACAATGTTTCCTTTGATTTTTTTGGCTACCCATAAATATATGATAAACATCAACTCTTGGACAGGAATAGCCCATTGGTATTTGTGAGCTCCTTTCACCATTTTTAGCCCTTTTTTGGAAAATCTGTTGCACTATTGCAACCAAGGCTGGAGTGGGATTTGTTTTCAAACTGGGAGTTACATGATGCAGTCCAAACAACCCTCTCCCTTCAACACAGGATTGCCTTTGTGCAAAATAACTGCTTCTAAAATCTGCACATTTCCATCTTCTTCATTTCTTACTTATTTACAAAGTCTCACTGACTAGTAAGTTAAAATACTGAACCTGCCTAAAAAGCAACTGGATGTACAATTCCTGTCCTAGTTTTGTGTCATTAGCTCCAGAAAGAAGGGTACTGTTATTACTGCGTCCATCAATGCTGCAAAAACAAATACAGTGTAAAGACTGTAGAACTGGGAGCAAAGCAGTGGAAGAAAGTAATAGGGATAGAAAGCTACTTTGAAGATAAAAGGCAGGCCAGTCACTATTACTGATGTACATGTCTGTGTGCTTAAGCCACGCATCTCAGGATGAGCAGAGGGCTGATTGTTATTGAGTCTGGCAAAGGTAAACTAAGGTAAGAGAGGTATACCTCAGCAGGACAACGACACATTGATATCAAGTCCCTGAGTAATTGAATAGAGCCTCCTATCAACATGACAGAATGATCTAAGGAATTGTAGAAATGATAATAAATAAATGAGCATGACTGTTAATGAAGGAGGTCAGATCCTATGCAACGCCATAAACTCTAAAACCAAGTCTGTGCTCCAAACCAAAGTGCAAGCATAAAGCGGACAAATTGGTTGATTAGCTATCTTGCTTGTCAATACTTAGTAGCTACACCAGATGACACACAGCTTGAACTCAAATAAGCAAACAGTACTCACTGCTACCCTCTAACGGTTATAAAACAGTTGGAGGCTTAGGGATCTAAATCTACAGTATTGTCATGAATTGCATTGCAGCGTTTCATATTGTATCATAATATATTGTATCACTGTATCATGATCAGCACGTTAGATTGTGGCTGGTATGTTATCTTGTGGCTACAGCATTAGACTGGGACACTATAAAGCACAGCTAGTGTTTCAAATATTGTATGTATAACCCATAACATGTCTACTTGAATGCATTTTCTTTTCTTTTATATTTATTTTCATAAATTTGCCTCAACCCAACTGACAATAATGCACCCAATTCCTATTCTGTTTGCTGCAGTGCAAACATATAATTGCAAGAGCGAACAACTGAGGATAACAACTGCAGACTCCTTAAATAATTATAATTGTGATCAGCCAATTATGTAATAATTGTGACAGGCCTAATGCTGATCTTGAAATGCTAAGCACTGGCTGATACAGACACCACCGCAATATTTTTTCTTTAAATACTACTAAGCTTCAGAATGAGCTATTTTTAATTAAAGTGCTTCGCTTATTTATTAGATAAGAATCTAAAAGTAGACCATCATGCACAAACCATTCAAACACTACTACTCCACAGAAAGAAATACGAGGCTAACAGTGTCACATCTCACAATGTGAG